TCCGGAAAAGGCGGGCAACACGGTATGACCTTTACCGCATAGCTTCCGCTGCCCGCTCGCCTCGACCGCCTCTACGCGAAAGCCCTTCTCGCAGGGCTCCAGGTCGATGCCGGCGCCCTTCCTGGGCACGCCCGCGTGGCCGTGGGCACCGACATGGCAACTGAGGAAACTGAGTCATCAAAACCCGGCATCAACATGGTCTACCCAGAACCAGGCAAGAACTAAGAAGGCGGATTACACCGCGTCGTTTTCTTTTGGTTGGGAGTATCCCTTGCTAACCTTCAACTATCCGGGTTTTGATTGTGGCTCAACTGACCTTTCAGGCACCCTCCCCATGCCTTTCGTGGGAGAAAGTGTACTCATATTTTAGGGGATTCCCAGGACCAAAAGCGTCCAAGCCCCACAATATGCAGCCAAAAGGAAAAAGCGCTAGGAGGCACCTCCTGTATGCGCTTAGTCTCGGCATTTCCTCGAAACCTTTCCACTCAGACGTGCAAACTTCTAGGGCCGGCCGGCGGGCGGGCGGGGGGGGTGGGGGGTGGGGGCGGCACAAACTCTTGCAGTCCAAATTGCAGTCACAAACCCCGAAGTCCAATGCCCCAAAATGACTGCAAAATAGACCCCAAGCGTCCAGCACATGTTCAGTGTCCACCCCAGCTGCTCGAGAAACACCGCGCCCAACTCAGGCCAGTGCTCCGCGTGCACTCTCAGGCGAACATCACGCCTGGCGTCCAGGGCGGCTACCCCTGGCCCCGTTGGGAAAAGCCGAGGTCTGCTTGTTCCTGGCCTTCATGTGTGCGTTGGTTCTCGTTCAGATGCGAGGCACTTTCTTCGGGGTTGTGTGTTTGTCTCCTTGGCTTGCTTTCCTCTGTGCGTGTTGATCTTAGCATTGTTGACAGGCCGACAGTCGAGATGCACGCCTCGTTGGCCAAGCATTCGGCCTGGGGTTCGACCTGGCCAGCAGGATGCGTTCAAGCCAAGTCTCGATACAGGGCCCCTTAAGGATACATCGACCACCTGCTTTTCAAGGATCCGGATCCTCTAAATCAGCCACGAGCGATCTTTCGGCTGCCCAGCTGGTATCCTTTAATGGACAAGCAACGTGCGCTCGCGCGCCCGCAGGTTGCACATTGGCCGTCTGGAAGATGTGCTGCACGGTTTCCTCTCAAAAGAGGGCTCCTGAAAAATTCGCTGGGCTGCGGAGTCCGAGGGCACCACGGGAAGTAGAAATCGAGCAGGCTCCGCAGCCTGTCACACAAGCAGGTGACCCTGTTTCGGGTGGGGCGTGAAGAGAAACCAAACCGAAATCTGGGGCCGGCCATTTATGGAAACCCCCATGTCCGCTTGCCCAAAGGGCTGATCCGCAGGCGAATCAACCCAAGGGGACCTCTGTGCACACAAACCAGCCCGTGCCCCAACCCCGGACACCCAACGTGGCACGGTTCGCGAATGGACTTGAGCGCCCAGCTCCTCCCGAGCTTTCTGCTTCGTGTCTTGGTGCACAAAGCCTCGGCCATTGGCCGGAGAAAAAATGCTCACGGCCGGCGAGGCCGGCCCTGCGCTAGCCCCGAAGCAAATATTCAACCAAACTCGTTGGGCAGTCCGGCACATGGGCTTCAGTTGCACGTAATCCATGCCAACCATCTCCGCTTGAAGTTGGAAATTCCGCGCGAAAGTCCTGGCGATCGACTCAGGGTGCTGGGGTGTGAGGGGGCTGGAAGCCTGGTTTTGCTACAAACAAGGTCGCGCTTGGGGCTGTGGGTTTCTTGAGTATTTTCAGAGATCTTCCAACGCCGGCATTGACAGAGAATCACCCCAAGGCCAACCTTTGCGCCGATGTACCAACCCAGCTCCCATCCCGCTTGGGCAAATGTGTCAACAGGCAGTTGGAACCCCACCATGGCGACTGCCTTTTTGGGTGTCTCCTTGGGCCAACCTGAGGGCGCCGAGCCTCGCAAACCCAAAAAACCGACGCGCGCCCTCGCCTCAGGTCTTCCTGGAAGGTCTTGGCGCGCACCTGGGCTCGTGGCACATCACGTTTGCGCCAGGAAACTCGCCTGTGGCACAGGTGAGTGGTGATGTCCAAAACCGAAGGGATGAAAAAATGTGGGAACTCCGAACGCCGATCATTGTCCTTCCGCAACCCCAACCTGTCGTGACTGAGGCTGAATGAAGCAAACCGGCTCATGACCCATGTTGACTCTCACATTTCGATCCTGTCGCATTCAAACCAACTACCATGTACTGCCACTGCCATCCCCCAGAAATTGAAGCTAACACGTAGCTCCTTGCTTTGACATCTCTCTGATTGCAACCTCTCATGGAAATTGTGGCTTGGAACAGTGGACCAAAGCCTTGGGAAATCTTCAAGCGTCCGCTCCGCAACGTCGGCACAGCAGCCAGACCAGTCGTGGAGCAACACAGGAGCCTTTGAAGGCTGGTGCGTTGGTTGCAACTACCAGGTCACACCGCCACGAGTCGCCTGCGGGAGAATGCAGTTGCTTCGCAAACATTAACCGAAATGTCCACCGATGACCTGCGACGAAGCTTTAATTCCTTCAACCAACAGGTGCTTGTTTCACACCCGGCCACGCGGCAGGCCCGAGCCAGTGCGTTCAAGAAGGCCTGCCTGTCACGGAGTAAAACTGCTCTACAAACACCATTGGAAAAGCTCGCATCAAGCCAATGGCATGAAATGCTACGAACATGGGAGCCTCCGGCGACCTCTGGCGGTGTGGGGAACTACAAACACGCCATTACCCTGAATATTCACACACGATATCTTGTCCTGACTGAATCTCGCGTTAAGGTACCCCACAAGCCACCTTCTAATTGGCTAGCACTTGGAGTGGGACTGACTGCAGGTGCCTCTTCTGTTCCCGGCAAAAGCGCGGGACCGTGATCCGAGGTCTCAAGATTGGGACTGGGGGAACCTGGCAGCCTCAGGCTCCGGCAGCGTCCCGCTGCAGGGCCGCGGCGGCACCCTTCGGGAGGGGGAACACCTCTGGCCGGCCGAGACTGCCCGGAGGGGAGATGTCCAAATGGGGAAGGCCCAAGAATGCGCGCTTTCCTGGCGGCTTCCCTTCAAGCCAATCTCAGAAAAGGCACCCTGAAAAAGAACACCTGTATGCCTGGGCACATCTGTTTTTGTGGCATGGTACCCAGATTGTTTGGGTTGTTTAGAGGGAAACCAAAGGAAATCGGGCGATTTCGGGATTCGCGAACCCCGTGGGGGGACTGAGCCAGACCCCTTCCACCTGTTCCATGGCAAGTAAGTCGCCGTCGACGCTCCAAAATGCTGCTGGCATTTTGTGGCAAGGAACAAGGAAAGTCATTGCAATGGGAATGAGCCACTGCATCCAGGCACTGAGGAGTGTGAGGGTTTTTCGGGCTATCAGCCGAATAACACAGGTCTGCGAAGAACGCGTCTTTTGGGTATTTAGTTGCCAGATGTGGGCCTAGCGTTCAAATTTCAGGGGGGTTGGGGTTTCGAGTTTATCTGCTTTGGGGTGTCACTTTCAGTGGTTGGCTGATTGGTGGGTTGTTTTGTTCGAATAAGAATGCAAGAATGCGGCCAAGGAGTCAAAGCATGTCATTTTAAAATGTCAGAATAGGCCGAATTTGGGCTGTGTTTGGGGCTTGGGCTGGCAGAGACTTCAGTGTACCTGACTTGTTCGACAAAAATGCATTGAAGAATATATCTTTGGTAAGCAGACCGATCGATGATAGGCATGGATTGCCAGGCCGAAAAGCTGGTTGGGCATGGTGAGATATATATATATATGTATCCTCTTGACACGTCAATAGGTACCTCAGAAGCTTCATTCACCCGCAATTGTCCCAGTCCCGTTTAGCATAGCTTTGGCGCAGGATAGAGCGATGGCCGAAGATCTCAGCCACGATTGTTAAGCTCCAAGCGTCCGGGTCATTAACGCTGCGACCTTGGACACCACACAGTGTTTTGGTTTCCTTTTCAACCAAGGTGAAAAGGCTACCCTCAACAAAAATGTATGCCCGCATGGAATGGAACTATCCTTGCACAACGGTGCACATCAAGGCCTTCTTTGGTTTTTTCGGCATTTTGGCAAGGCGAGTTCAAAGACACACTCTGAGACTCCGGCCGAGTGACGAACCCTTGCCACCCTTGCCTGCAAGCATCCGTCTTCCCCCGAAGTGTCGGGTTCTGCCGAGAGAGGGACCCCTGTTCTGGCCCAATGACGGCCCAACAAAGTCCTGATTCGTTGAGCGATGCCAACTGCTTCATGGAGGGTCAGGCAAGCACGGCCCCGAGAAACCCGAAATAGCCGGCAGCCGCCGCCTTTCCCAGCAGGCGCCCTACCTTGCATCGGCTCCCAAGAACAGAAGCTCAGCACTGCGGTAGCCACATGCAAGCGCGCCACTTGCGGACGCGCAACATTTTTTCGCCCGGACTCTGCGGGAGATCCACCTGAGACGCCTTGTGTTATAAAGCGACATAGGAATGAGTTTTAACTGGGGACTCTTCGTCTTTGGTTGACATCATTTACATGGGCACTATCCACCAACCAGTACGCTCACCCACCACATTGAGGGTGTCCCCATTAAAAATCACAGCCACACGGTTTGAATTTGGGCATCTGGCAAGTTTCTGTACAAGGCTGAGCTATACTGGCACTCATCTGAGCGTGTCGTGTGTCTTCTAAATGATTGCACATGACCTGAGTTGCATTGTACAACAAAGGCGTGTGAAACCATTTTTACAGCTGCTTTGTGTCCCGCTGTACCAACACCGCAGTCTCAACACATTGCCAGGGCTCGGGTATTCCTAACTACTAGGTGTAGCAGTGGCAGGTTAGTATGGCCAGACTCACACCCAGAAGTAAGTCGGGCACCCTGATTTGACTCCAATCTTAGCTTGTGAGGCTTCCCCTTGCTCTCCAACTCCGAAAACGTGTGTCCGCGTGTGTCTTGGCCCGGTAAATCAGGTGGGCCTGACTTTCTGGGTGCGAGTCTGGTCCATGTCACTTGATGGATTTGATCTTTCTAATTTGCAGATCGTCGTCCCCTTCTTCCACGTGGAGGAAGGTCCTCCGGACCACCAGCTGGGGCTCGAAGTGCTCCACGCAGGTCCGCCCCCATGGCGTGCGCTGGAAATGGGCCACCATGTCCTCAAGCCAAACCCTAAGACCCTATGATGGTTCCGAGACCCAACCCTCAGAAAGGCAGCGGGATATGCAACAGCCACTGTAGCTTTGGTCTATGCACCCGTTCTGGGGATAGCGGATCTCGGAAACATGTTTGAACACCTACTGTGCTATGTGGCTACTGCCCCCTGCGCAGAAAGTTGAACTTGCTGGTCCCGGGAGGGAAAACACACATAAATTTCCAAAAAGTGAAAGCTTAAACATCCAACCCAATAGCAGCAAAGTGCGGATGAACAAAAATCCACTCAATTGGGGGGGATGCATATTACCAACTGGTGCAGAAAACTTGTCGTCGGCATTGCTGGTTGTTTAAACACGTGGGGGTTATCCCCCCTTTGTGCGCCCCGCCTTTCCTTTTTAAAGGTACCATAAAGGGCCCGAGTTTTGACCTCATCCTTGCCCACTGTCCTCCTTCAAGTCCGGTGCTTGCGAGCCGCCGTAGGCACGGCGGTACGCCGCCCGCTGACATCTGAAGGCGACGAGGAACTCGCCGCGGAGCCTCAGCCACTCATCACGCCTCATGGCGCACTGGTATGGCACGAGCTTTTGGCCATCTAAGGTATCGAAGGTCCTGACAGGGTTTTTGCCCACATTTCTGGAACAACGCCTTCTGCAAGGAGAACTCGCCTATTGCACAAAATGGTCTCAAAATGGTGATGTTTCACATGAAAACATCACTACCCAGGAGAACTCTGAGGAAATCACATGTATTTCTCACACCACCAAAGCTTGACATGTTAGGATTCTGTCCTGACATGATAGCCCAGACGCTCTAGAAATTGTTGCATGTAGCGGGCAGCCTGGAACTTTGTGTTCTCAGCGTCGAATCGAAAGATTGTCCATGCAGCAGCATCAGTGGAAATGATGACGTCTGGCTCTGCGGATCCCACATGAGGAAGCAAAGGCGATCCCCGCGCGAAGTGGCGCAAGCCCAAGACTACATACAGGTCCGTGTCAATGTTACGGAGCCGCAACATACTAGGATGGTTGAAAAGCCAAACCACATGCTGGCGCCCAAATTTCACCATCTGCTCCAGGCACTCTTGCACCCAGTGTGCAGATACGCAGACTGGCGCGTTGTATACCAGGCAGAGGCGAAAGGTGCCCGGCCCATCGCCTTGTGATACCTGGGTGTTACAGTAGGGGGTCTAGGAAAACCGAAAAAAGAAAAGAAAAGAAAAAAGCACCATCTTCGGAAAATGAAACAAAGTACGTTTGGATTGATCACAGATACTCTCATTGCCCCCTGAGGCTTGGAATGAAGCGTATGGCTCACGGCCGTGGCGTCCCCCTGCTTCGGGAAGTTCCGCCGTAGCTGGTGCCTCACGGTGAGCGGCTCCTCGGTTTCGCAGAAGTTCTGCAGGAACCTCGGCTCAGCCCGAAAGCCTGGGATGTGCACCTCCCGCACCTCCGTCCGCCGGCCTTTTTCTCAAGTCGGGTCATCTTGGGAGACGAGGGAATGTGAAAATAAACGCGGGGCCAGACGAAGAGTCGTCTTCCTGTTGCTGTCTCTTTCAACCACGGTGGAAAGGGTAGAGACATAGTACCCGGATTAACAAGCCCTTGGTTGTTCCTTTTGGGAGGGAAAATTGAAAACCGCCTATAAATTAATAGGACAGCTTCGTCAATCTGGGGTCAACACCCCAATGTCCCCCCAAACGTCCGAGGGACGGCCCCCCGAGGTTGCCGAAGAGGGCCACGAACCGCCCCATGGCGCTGTCCACGCCGGAGCGTCCGCCAGAGGTGGCGCGCCCCAGCGCGAAGGAGCCTTTCCTGAGTGCAGGGCTCCAAACCTTTTAGGTCCAAAGATACTGTGGATGGACGAAATCCTGCACCACCTCAGAGACCCTGGAATGATGATTCCCCTGTAACTACCAACAACCAATGGTTTCCCATGGTTTCAAGGTGGTGCAGGATTTTGTCCATCCACAGTATGGCCATGGATCACAATGCCTCCATTTTGTGGCGGATGAACACCCACGTACCACCTATTTTGATGTTCACCAAAGATTCAGGGTTTTGACCCACAGCCATACGTCAACCTGAATGGCGAGGTCCCCAAAGAAAGACATAGATAAAATACTGTGGATGCACGAGATCCTGCACCTAACAAACCCTGGTACCAACAAACTTTATGGTTCAAGTTTCAAACACAGTGCGAAATGGATATCGCGTCCATCCACGTTGTTTTGATGTTCTTATGTGGGTATGAATTTAATTAGGGAGCCTTTGGTGGACATCATTTAGGTGGGAATTTATGTCCACCAACCACTTTTCAGGGGGAATTTATGTCCACCAACCACTTTACAGGGGTTTTCCCATTAAAATTCATGGCCATATGTTCTTCTCAGCTTCTTGCACGAGCCCCTGAGCACCACATCGCCGGGCCCCACGTGCAGTAGCAGCTCCTCCGGGCACAGCTCGCTGTCCTCGACTCGCTCGAGATGCCGAGCCTCTGGCCGAATTTGGAGACAAGAGCCAGGGCTGCCTGGCAGGGGAGGTGGTCTCAAAGGACATGGACGCCCAAACCCAAAACGGTCCCTGGCTTCTCTTTAAAGAGCAACCAAAATGGGGCCAAGAAAGCACACACCCTGTTGAAGGCGGTTTCGCGGGAGAATCGCCGAACTTTGCGGCCAAATACCGCCGCTGGCGCTGGTAGAAGGTAATGGCACCAAACTATCGGTTCTAAGCCACGGGCTTTGGCTCCTAACAAAGCTTTGACCTGGGTACAAGAATCAAGTGGGTACAGCAGGTGTTCAAACTATCGCAGATATGGTGCAGTCAGTGGGTGCAGGAGCCGATAGCTGCGTATGCTCAACAGCGAGGTCTTTTGGAATGGTCTCTGCGAGACTTGCCATTGCAAAGGCGAGATCATGGCGTTGATGCTGCACCGCCCGCCTTGTGCCTGTTATCTTTTCATCTAGACTCTGGTTTGCCTGCGTACTGGTTACGAAGAGATGTATGAGCCGGGGCTTGAACCAAGGACTACGTTTGCACTTCCTGGAGCTTCCTATCCGCAAGACGTGCCGGTTTCGTCTTTGTGCGGAACGAGGAGCATCGAGTTTGATGGAGGCCGCGCCCCTGGGCTTGATTCGGCTTGCATGGTGTTGCGTGTGAGTCTTGGCGCTAGTGGTTGTCATGGCTCTTCGCTTGGAGACTGCGATGGACGGGTGCTGCCTGCAAAGTGCGCATCTGACATTCTGTTGGATGTATCCTGTCGCCATCCGTTGCCGTACAGTGTGGGCTACACTGACTTGTGGGGCTCAGCCCCTCAGTTGTTCCCGCAGAGGACGCCGACCGGCCGCCTCTGACTCGGAAGCCAAGAAAAGGAGAAAAGGAGTTTTGACCAACCACGGAATCAAAGACACCAGAGCAGTGGCGGTGCAAAGCCGATCTTTGAGGTTTGGCCGCCCGTGGAGCACGCTTGCAATCGCGTGAACACCGTGGTGGAGATCTGTGCGGAAGGTGGAAACCGTCTTTGGGCGGAGTTTGTTCCTTCGGGGGAGGCGGTGGAGGTGTTTGGCCATCTTCCTGCCGGCCATGGTGATCGCAGCGTCTTTCAACAAGGTGTTAGTGCAATGGGCATTGGAACAAATGAAGCAGGATGGCAGATCATGCCTTTGTGCTGCGTCCTTGCACTCAATAACCTGGTCAGAAGGGCTGCAGGCCCAGCATGCCCCGATCTGGTGGCTAGTGAGCAGGGTCGCAGGTCGTTTGCCTTTGAGGCAATGCATGGTGCAAGTGAGCCAGACGGGGGATTGGATTACGTTGATGCCGTATCCACAAGTGGTGTTCGTGAAGAGACTATCCTTTTCCGGGTTGGTGTTGCACGCTCAGATGCCACCAGCATGGTTGCAGTCACCGTAAGAAGCACTGTTGCAAGCCTCATCCAAGCTGAGAATGAGGTTGAGGAATGCAGAGCTATCAGAACCCGGGATGCAGATTGTGCCTTGTTGCCTGAAGATCATGTTCTTGAAGCAGGCCAATTGGTCAGTCTTGAAAAGATTGAAGCGATATGAAGGTGCTGTGCTTAGGGAAGATGAGGTCCAGGCCAATGTCCATGCGGAATGGCTCAGGGATAGACCGGTGCCAACATTTTGTGAAGAGAGAGGGCCGAGCGAGAAGCGCATTCGGTTGACACTGGGACACTGCAGAAGAAGATCCGGCACCTTATACAGTGCATGCAATTAATGTAAATGTGAGCTATGGCTTGAGTCAGGGCTTTCCCAGTACATTAGGTTGTGAGCCACTCAGGTGGCTTGTAGTGGTGTAGGATGCATAGAGCTGGACTGGAAGCACAGACAAAAGGAGACAAAAGGAGTTTTGACCATGGCACATATGGCCGGCTGTGATTTTCTGAGCCAACAAAAAGACAATGTCACCCCATTGATTAAAGGACACGTCCCTTTCAAAGTGCCGCGTGCAGCCCGGCCAGTGCCGCGTGCAGCCCGGCCTGACACGGGCACATGCTTGTAATCGAATCTGAGCAAATGGCCGCCCCACGGGCACTCCCGATGCGAACAGGAGCCCTCCCTCGTCTCGATCTCCATATGCCAGCCCTGGTCAGCAAGCGCAACGCACGCATACTCGAACCATCTGTCGATTCTCTGCTCGACCATGAGACCCCCACTTCTGCCCACAGAAGTAAAGGCAAGCAACGTTCTTGAGCCAAAACGGCCCTTACAGGACGCCAATAGCAGCTGGTGACAGTGAGGGCTTGCCGAAGGAGACACAGCACAGTTGGCCATGTGTCTCCAAGTAAGACGTGATGCCAAACGTGCGGGTTCCCTGGGATCCCTTCAAACCACGCGCCCCAAAACGGGAACACCCACATTTGCACGCAAGCCACGAGGCCTGAGGTGCCACCGTTCCTCAGGACGCGCACAGTGGGCGCCGAGAGTCCCCTGTAAATTCACATAGAACCTCAAAAGGGGATCCAAGAAAAAGGAGGTTTGCTTAAACATGTTGCGTTTGTTGGGATTCCAGGTTGATCTGCGGAAGAGTAGTGGCTCTCACCATCTTGTCAGCTGAAGTGTTCGCAGGCCTCCCAATGCGAGTTTAAACTTGCGACTGTGCCTAGAGTTCTTTCCACCACGCGAGGTTCACTTGGGCCGGGTTCCGCACACAGCGTCCGGGCGGCGTGCAGGAACCTCAGGGATGTATTTCAGCTCCAAACGCCTTTCCGCCTATGTCGTCAATTTGTCGGCCCACGAGTTCGCATTTTTCCGCTTGATTTTGCCTTCCAAGGCTGGCGGTTCCTCAAGCGGCTGGGCTTCGCCCGACTCGATCGGGGCTCCCGGCTCCAGTTGTGGCAGCTCTGGCCAGCGCAGGCCTCGTTTGCTTTGCGCATCCGAACGAAACCCCGCAGAGTCTCGTGTCCAAACCCAACCCATGCTGCGAAGGGGGCGAAATCCGCTTCCCATTTCATAGGCTTGGGCCATTCAAAGTGCATCCATCCCACCTGGTGCAAGATTTCCTCCATGCGGTAGGCAGTATCTAAAGAGAACCCAAGGCCCACAGTATTCGGCGCCAGGAGAGTTCTGAGTCCGAAGCGCAGGCGGCTGGAGAGGGGCTTTGCCCTCGGCCCGCGCAGCTGCCGTCGCGATAGCTTGCTCACACCTGGCCCGGAAAAGAATGGAAACCCTGGAAACAATGCAAAAACCCAAGAACAACCACCAAAGGAAACCCAAGGAAACCCAAGGGAAACCCAAGGTGTCTATAAACCACTTCTGGAAACAACCATGTGCTATCCCCGAGCCAAACCAAACATGGTTGATTGACACAAGAACCAGGAGACCCTTCTGTCAGGGGCACAGAAGCAAGAAGCCTGAAATCCGCGTAGGATGCAGAGCTCAGTGACTGGGAGTAAAACAAATGGAACCCAGAAGAGATGTGGCTTTTCAAAAGCTCATAGCCAAAAGCAAGAGGAAACATCGCAAGGAGTTGGGCAGAGCCTGCCAGCCTGTCAGCCTGCCCCACTTTCTGGGATTTGCATGTGTACACGTGCAACGTCCAAGTAGGGATTCGGACCCCCAACATCGGCCAGTTTCCCAAAGGACAGCCCCAAACCTCCTCAAGCCACACGCCAAAAACCGCCCATGTCAGCGGCTGGCTTTCGGCCCGCTCAGGGCCCGGCTCCGGGCGCTCCGGCTTGGCCCTCAAGGCCTGGCGCAGCCGCGAGCGGCGCAGCGCGGCGTCTTTCGGGCGTATCCATTGGCAAGCTTTCAAGTGGGCCCCAATTTTGGACTCAAATGAGTCCTTGAACACTGGACAGGGGGTCAACTAAGCTTGCACCCCTTTTTGTTGAACCCAAGCAGCCCAAAAATCGAACTACTGCGAGCAGTTGGCAATATGTCAAATGGCTTGAACCATTGCCGAAGAACCTGGGGGATATGCTTCAGCCCAGAAACTGGAAACGCCTCGGGCTGACAAAACCAAAGCAGAAGGAACCTTCTGCGGCTTCCTTATGCCCCCCGTGGCTTTCTGCACCCAACCAAGGAGTGAAGGAAAAGAAGGAACTCCAAAACATCTGAGCCGCTCCAATCTTCAGGATTTCTGCTGGAACTTGGAAGAGGAGACAAACGAGCCCGCCCCTGTTTGGACATGGCCCATGTTGTTTAAACGCCCTGCTTTTGGTTTCCCTCAAGGGGCCAGGGTACAGTTGTTCAAACACATGTCGCCCAACAACCCTCACCCCAATCCCTTATGGTATGTTCGTGCGTGTGTTCCGTGTGATTCTGCTTGGAATCAACCATTGCCCTTCTCTGCGCTACCCCCGCGAACGCAAAGGATGGAACAAACAAGCACAAGGCCGTTCCCAGCCTGACCTTCACTTTGCCTAGCTCAAACGCAACCCACCCAGCCTCCCCGCCTGACATCCGGAACTTGCCCAGCCTGACCAAACCTCCTGACCAGCTGCAAGTCCTCTAGACTCCATCGAATTCCTTTTTCAGACACACCGCCCTCGGGGCTTTGGGAACGAGCCCATGGATCAAACCGGCGATTCACGCCTCGGCATCCTGGCGCGCTTGAGCCAGCACCTCCTCCGCCGCCTCGCTCAGGTCCCCCGCAGCGCGGACCTCCGCACCAGAGAGGACCTCGGCACGGCGTCTTGACGCCCCCGATTTCAAGGAAACTGCATAGAGACTGCATGGCTCAACCTGTGCGAAAAGCTGAAGTGTTGCTGCTTAGTGGGGGGAAATCAGCATTTCTCGGAAAGTGAAAGTCTAAAGATGCTGCCAAATAGCAGCCAAGGAGCAGAGCACAAGGAGAAAAGCTTGGTGGCACTTCCCAGAAGAAAGGGAAGCCACGCCCAAAAGGTCGGGTGGTTTGGTGGCACAAACCTGAACAAAACTAGCCAGCACAATCCTGCTGGCCACTGCTTCCTGACCAAAATTGGGGAGGCAAAAGTTCCCAAAGGTTGGTTGCACTTCCGAAAAGAAAGGGGGGAACAAGGAACGGCCAGCCAGCACAATTCCGCAAAAAGGTCGTTTCTCGACAAATTTAAGAAGCCACAAATTTGGTCCGCTCATGACCAAGTGCAAGCTAGCCTTTGCTTTGCTCGAGATTTGCCCAAAAATGCCGAAAGGGTTGTTTCAGGATCCAAGTGCAAACAAACCGTTTGGACCTGCCAAGTGGGCCTTCTGACCTTCGGCTCACTAGCCGAGGCAAGGTCCTCCGCGACATTTGCAGCACCCAACCTCGGCTCTTCGAGCTGCTGGAATTCAAGCGGTGACTGATGGTGGCCAAGAAAGATGCTGAATAAAGAACAAAATTCGTGTACATAGGTTGATTTATTTTGGGATTGCTTGTTGTGCTTTTCTGCCCCCCCCTCCCCCCCCGAGATGCTGTATCAGCGTCAGCGTTGCCAGCATTGCTTTAGTCGTTTTAGAATGGGTGTAGGCTGGGTGAAGGTGGGGTTAGGGTGGGTTCAGTACGCTTGGTTTAAGGTGGGTTTAGGGTTGGCTTTTGGTTGGTGCAGTTAGCTGCGGGTGGGTTCAGGGCTGGTTTAGGGTTTAGGGGCTCATATCTGGGGTTTGGAGTGGGTCACCAAAGAACACGAAAGCCCCAAAACTCCACAAGGATCCGCAAAACACACATACACCAAAAACAGCCTATATATAATATATCATATTATATTATATATGTACATCATTCCCCATTCCCCATTCCCCATTCCCCATTTCCAACACGCCAAGCTCAGCCAAAATCATAGCAGGAAAGGCGACATTCTGTCGCAACGACTGTTGAAAAATGCAGTTCTTCTCCACTTTGGCTGTTCCGACCACGCACAATTATCGCCGGTATTCACAACAAGGCGGCCTGAATCACGGCTTCCAACATTTCAAGCCAAAAATATCCAAAGGGGCTCACAAGATCAATCAACCCTTTTTGTACAAGATTATGTCCTAAACAAACAAAGTATAAGTACGTGTCCAAATACAGGTACCCTAAAACTCGCGCTGTCTCTTTCAACTTTTGATTGAAAACCGACCTTCAGAGGCTCCCCCAAACAAACACACACCCACATGGCGAACTCTGCGAAATCCGACACTTTCGTTTCAGCGCTTTGCCGGTGGCTCACATTGCCTGAGCCCGCAGCTTGGCGAGGGCTTTGGCCGTCTGGTACACAACCTGGCCGATCCGGGTGGAGAGTGGTTTTTCCAGGGGTTGATTCCCCATTCTTTTCATTCATCGTTCTTTTCGCGGTCAGGTTTCTGGAGGTTTTCTGGAAAGAATCCCTGGAAAGAATGGGGAAGGTACCCCTAGAGTTATAGCAAAGAAACGGATTTTGCCGCGCCCATATACAAACTTTAAGACGCCGCGCATCCCCTGTCGGCGCAGCTATACGCTGCGCCGAGCCCACAACTTTACGCTGGATAAACCTCGCCTGCTCCGCAGCAATCCGCTCGCGACGTGGTTGTATATCGAAGGGCCAGCCCCAAGCTGCTTCAGGGCAGTGGAGGCAGACGCAGAGCGACACCACACCAATAACCGAGGGGTGACAGTGCTGGCGCAAGCGACACCACACCACGTGGATGGCCAGCTGCTTGGCTGTGGGCCGTGTTAGGGCTGCACTCATTGCGCTGCGGCTGGGTTCAAGGGCCTCCGCTTAACCACCGCGTCCTCACTATCGACGGCTGCCCCAAACAACCAGAGCAGTTGGTGCTGAAGATACAGCTTCCAACGCAACTCCCTGTGTGCGTGCGCGCCCGTGTGAGCGTTGTTCAACGCTCCCGTGCCACGCAACTGCTTCCTTCCAGCTCCTCCTTGCAGCTCGATCCGCAGGGCCACCCGCCCCCGAAAACTGCCAGTGAGCAGAGACTCTCCGCCGGAACATAAGCCCTAGCAGTCAAGGTCTTGAGATGATTGGCCGCGATGACCTTTGACAGTTGCTTTCCTTTGAAACAAGAGTCCGATCAACAGACTCAACCCCCAACTCTAGTCAATCCTCACGGCTTTGTCTTCGAAATCTGAAATGAGATGTCTCTTTCGATAAAACCTTCTGGCCAAAAAGTTCCTCTTGACCAACTACACTGGGCGTTGACCCCTTGAATGATAGTCGGTGCTTCCCTTTTCTCGGCCACCAAGTCATCCCTCTCTGCCCAAATGACGATGTCCAAGATCTGCGTGAATCATATATATAATGTATAGTTTTGGTTCACCGACTTCACCGACCAAACATAGGAGGAGAACCCTATCACGGCGCGCGCGGTCGAAAACCAAATCCCTTGGTCGGGTCGCTATAATTCGGCCCAGAAACGTTGCTATTGCTGTTGCCGTTCGGCCGCGCGTGTTGCTGCCGGTCTTATTGATGGCGCTGGGTGCCTTAAGGCGACATTCTCCAAAACTTCCCCTCTAAATCATGGCGAAAAAAGCGGGGGGGTTCCCCATCCCCAGAAGCAATTTTGCTCAAAACCCCTCAAGTCCTCAAAGGCAGCCGAGTGAAGTGTGGCATCGCTCGCCCCGCTGCCCTTGATGGACACCTGCACCCGCTTGCCGGGCGCCCGCCTCCGCATGCCGAGGGCTTCGGAAGGCCACGAGCACTGCGCCGTGCGCGGCCTTCAAAACCTGGCGGATGGTTTGGAGGGTTTGGAGGATGGTTTGGAGGATGGTTTGGAGGGGTTGTTGGAAGGGTTGTTGGAGGGGTTGTTAGAGGGCCCTGAGGATGAACAGGGGAGTTGCCGTGCAATATTTCGGGGAAGGCAATATCCCTTCGGCTTCGTCTATCGTTTTTGTTGGCTGGTTTGGGGAGGGGGAGGGGGGTTTGTTGGATGGGTTGTTGGATTGAAAGGGAAACCAAAGAGACTTGAAACAACGTTTTCGGAGGAGGAAGTTGGCGGGCAAAAAGACAACTAGAGGGAAATCACCGGGATATAAGAGGGAAACCAGCGGGAGATCGAGCCGTTCTGAGAGTTCCCCACTTTGGGAAAGCAAACGTCAAAGAGTTCCAACGCTGCTTGCGGCGGCAAGGCACGGAATCCACTCGCCAATCTGAGGATTCAATCCAGGCGCTCGGTCCGTGTCCGCCAGGCGGGCCTTCAGCTTGAAGTCATTGCCCTCCTGCATGGAATACCTGCGGACTCAGCCAGCACCCTTCCCCCAGAATCAAGCATGGGTTCGGCTTCCCACAAACCACCAGGATACAGGGGGTTGATGGGATACCGAGACAAAGACACTTCGTAAGGGGCACATACCTGTTTGTCTCCTGTGGAGGAAATCATCTTAGTATCAAGCTAGCTGTAATCCAACACAAACCTCGATGCTCCCTCATACCGCATCTAAGATCGGGCCCCAACCCAGGCCCTAAGTACCGGCAGGGACCCAGGGCTAAACATCACCCGCGGAAACTCGCCAAGCTTGAATGAACTTCCGTTCCGGCTGCCTGGCTTCCATGATTCAAAGAGAAAAGATCCGCATGTCTGGTTGAGCCTGTTCCCTACCTTCATCCACCCGGAGTGTGATTGTGGCTGAAATATCTTGCTGGTTCTCAGTCTGGGGGGTTGAGAATGAACCGTGTGGCATCTGAAAGGAAACCACCTGGATAAGCGCCACAACTGGGCGCACTGGTCCGTGAAGAAGGTGGCCAGCGTGACCGAGGCTTGGAAGAAGGCCTGAGAGCGCCAGACATCTCCGAAACACCAACTGAGCACCCGAAACCCGTCCATCCCTCTTGAGACTTTGGGGAAAATGAAAAGGCATGGGCTACCTAAAGCCCAGTTGTACAAAAGTCTCCAGTGTGGGTGCCGCGCCCTGCGGTCCAGGTTGTCGAAGCAGAACCTCAGGCGACCGATTTTGGGGTCGGTACATGTTTGGAAAACGAAAGGGAGCCGAGCCTTCCGGGTTCCTATCTCGAGACACCCAAATCGGATGTTCATTCCCAACACCTAAATCAAGGGCTTCATCCGACTCATGACTCATTTCCTTCACTGAGTCCAAATCATTTCAATCCCACGGAAACCTGTAAGCCCTTGGCTCCAGGAGCGCTCCGTCCCGCTTGGCTCTCTTCCTCCTCTCTTCGCACCTAAGCTCCCAAGAACACGCGGAACGAGCCGCAAAATGGCTGCTTTTCCTCTCGCCTCCAGGAAGCGGCGATGTATGTGTTTTGACATTGAGGGTAGGGCCTTGTTGAAGGGAGAAACATGCAAGGGGAAAAAGAATGACAGTCACGTTGGGAGGATTCTGGGGCATCCGCAGTGTCCATACTTTGCAACCCCCAGATATGGGGAAAAACAAAATGCCCTCCTGACGAAACTGCAACAAGGAAAGCCACCGTCTTGCGAGATCTTGAAGATTGATCTGAAGCACAGACCAATATAGGACGGGGGGTCCCATTGGTTTCCCCTTAATCATGAATCTCACAAGCGATCTCGGTGTGCCCCAATGCACTCAAAAATCATGTGTGCAAAGGGAAGCCTCAAAAAGGGGTGCGTTCGTGCAACCAAACAAATCCTCAATAGCAATAGAACAATCATGTGTGCAAAGGGAAGCCTCAAACAGGGGTGTGTTCGTTTTGCCCACCAAAAAAGACAGGCCCATACATCTCCTCTTTCAACAACCTTCGATAACACCAAAGCCCTAGAGTCCGCAGCGTGCTCGCGCCCGAGGCTGAAACTCTGCTAGGAAGCCCTCTGCAGTGGCTGCGGCAGAGGGCGTCAACACCGCCTCGCACGTCACTTGTGTTGCGCGGGGGTCCTCTGGGGAAGTGACATCTGGGGAATCCGATTTTGGCAGCTTCCTGGTTGGTTCCCTTTAAGCCAAGAAGGTGAAAAGGGTACACAAAGAAAAGCAAGCTCACATGTCCCAACCTAAAAAAAACAAAATGTTCGCGGAACATGGCCCAAAAGGCAATGTTTAATTAACCCACTAAGGGATATATAAGGGCCTTTGTGGCAAAGCTGTCCACTTCAGCAGTAACACGTCGAGCCACAAAACACCACAAAGAAGCTGAAGTTCCTTCGATAGTTTGACCAATTATGAGACGACGCAATCCAGACCGAGCCTGCTCCGGTGATGGCTAAAAGAATCCTTTCACACCATGACATTGGCAAATGGGCAAAATTTCCAGACACCCCTCAAACAACTTGCCAAACAACTCCTCTTAGGGGGGGGGTACTTGGTCATGGCTCACTTGCCCAGCACCCCCACCCTAGCCACTTTCTCTGGAGTTTACACTCCTCCAAATTAGAATGGCACCCCACGACGCGAGTCTCCTTTTATGAATCAATTCCCTTTTTGGGCAAGTTCCAAGCAGTTCTTGAGGCAAGAAGGGCCCCCGCATATCAGTGTTCCATGCTAATCTGCAGAGTAATGGAGACCTTGAGGTTGTGATTATAGACACATCATGTCTAGAATAGCAAATCATAATATATTTAACCAAGATTTGATTTACAATTAACACATGGGCATGTGTCGAATTGGGGGGGGAGATCCTTAAACGGTTTCGTTTCTCTGGTTGGTTTCCCTTCAAATGGATGAACCCTCATGAATACTGGAAGAAACCATCGATCTACAGCTGGTGCAGGACTTTGTCCATCCACAGTAGAATTGAGATCTCTTTGGACATCATTGACATTTTCAGGTGCACTACATGCCCATTTGGGGATGTGGGGAGCTCCCACTTTTGTCACATACCCATGTATTGTTGAAACGTTCCACTTCGTTCCTTGATATCAATTCCCGCCCAAATGTGCGGGAGGAACCAGATGCAATCCGCCGTGTTTCCGCCACCATAAAGTGGGTGTGTCTTGTCTCAGGGTTCCCTCAGCTGGATTCAAAGAGAAAAAGGAAGAAAAACCACTTCTAGGGCCTCCCTATTTGGACACACACCTGTGCCAAGACTTCCAAACTCCTTCATTTGGCGCCGCTTACATCTCCAAATGCCTCCACGAGAAGCGCCCGCAAGGCATCTTCATCACCCGCCTGGCGGGCGTTTGCCGCTGTGGGGCGTAAAGACAAGCAGCCAAGACTCCAGCATATACATGTGCATGTATGTGTATATATATATATATACACATATATATATATATACATAGCTGTGCATATCCATATGTATATACAGATATACGTCAAACTATAGCTATTTATGTATGTAATGTCAGGTAACGTAACGTAACGCAACGAAATAGTAACGAAATGCAATGCAATGCAATGTGCTATCTGTTTTCGAAAACATGTCAGTGTTGGTGGATAGGTCCAGAATGGTACGGCAGGCCGCAACGGCCTAAAATGACATGGGTGGCCAACACGCCGATGGGCGATGACAGGCTGGCGGCAGCAAAAAACAGCGGATCGACGACCAAGCCGACGACGGACAAGCGACAGGCCGACGACGGACCGGCGACAGACTGACGACGGACCGACGACCGATTGACGACAAGCCGACGGAGCGCGCACTCATGTGAAGGACAACTAGAAGGGTGGGGCTTTAAGAAAACTGTCGGAGCGCTGCCAAACTTTCAGCCACCTCAGGCCTCAACGTCGCATTGACTGCCACTGCTGCTCTGGCGAACGCTTACAATAAACCCGCGCAGGGCTGCGCACGAGAACAAGGCAGGCGCCGCGAGCTCGGCTTTTTGCTTTTGCGCTTTGCTGACGAGCAGGCCAGGAGAAGGGCTACAGCATCCCACCCGTTTGGAAACTTGCTGGCGTGTTTCCACGCGCTTTGGGCGGTGCCTCTGGCGTTCGGCCAAAATGCGAAACGTTCGCCGCGGCTTCCTGCCATGCGGGTATGAAGGCCGTAGGTATGGCCCTGAAGGGTTGCAATGGTATCTAAAACAAAACCAAAAACGAGGGGCCGCCATTTTGAAAAAAGAGATGACTCTCCACTGAAAATGGCTTGAGACGCGTGGATCTCTCAACTTCCGGCCTCCATGGAAGCAGCAAGCTCCGCCGGGGCCTGTTCGGCCCGTAGCCTGTCAAAACGCGCGCAAACCCGCAAGTCGCAATCCAAATTCCGTACTGGACGCTGCACTGAAAAGATCTACCCAAAATCATGTCACGAAGCCACAGGGCGGACACCAGTGCTTACCCTTCATCTAACCGGGCTTGGCACCTGCGCCTGCCTGAGTTTCTTGCGACAGCAGAGTGCTGTTCAGCCATCAGAGAACAGACCAGGCGAGACCAGACAACGCCCATGAATTTCACATGCGTCTGCCTCAGCAGCTTGACATTGGGCAATTTGTGTAGCTGTCTCGATGTGGTTGGCCCACGCATCGGAGTTCGCGCGCGCTTTTGCCACGCCTTCTTCGCTCCTTCTCCTCAGCTGCTCGCCTCTCAATCTCCGCCCTGGCGCGAATTGAGACGAGGGCTCCCTTCGTGGCCTGCAATTCTTGGCTCAAGAAGTTCGAGGGCCTTTTTGTGAGGCAAAACTTAAACGAAAGCAGTCAAACAAAATATTCCGGAAAGAGCAATCAGCGCACTAGTCTCCAGTAGAGAAGCTCTCAATTATTCCTGTCGACCTGACAGCATCACCATCTGCTGCCCATGTCAATCAGATTGCCCAATAAGATAACTGCGCGCTCTATAGACTCTATACTCCAAGCTTCTGCCAAATCAGCCGTTGGCTTTCATAATTTGTGCTGGTACGGCTCAGCCAAATAATTTGATTCCGGAAAGAGCAGTCTCCGCACTAGTCTTCACTAGAGGGAGCTCTCAATCATCCTCGCCCACCAACTTGGTCAAAACGTCACCATGTACTGCGACCCGTTGAATCGTCCCAAGCAAAATGCCGGCTCAGCCTCTGCAAAACCTGTGCTGGTTCGGCTCAGCCAAATAACTTGATTCCGGAAAGAGCAGTCTCCACACTAGTCTTCAGTAGAGGGAGCTCTCAATCATCCTCGCCGACCGACTTGGTCAAAACATCACCATGCACTGCTGCCCATTCAATCTGCTCAGCCTCCGCAAAATCAACCTTTGTTGTCTAACCTGTGCGTACGGCTCAGCCAAATCCGCCGACGCCAGTCGAGCGTGTAGATGGCAGTCCGCAACTTGGTCTTCCTTCGGAATCTCGTATCAAAGCCGAAGGCTTTTGGGACTGCTATTTTTTGGGCATGCTGTGCTACGTGTTCAAAACCCTGTATTTTTCCAGTGTTTTTGGGTCTTTCGTGCTAGAAATCTGCGTTTCGCCTAGGTCTCTAGGGGGGGGGGTTTCCCCCGGACGCGCAGGATCTGCATCCCCAGCATCATCAGGATTAGCTTGTTGCCATGAATTTGTCTCTTTCTTTTGCAGGTACTAGTGGTGTTTTGCTGTTTCAAGCGATGTTGGAATTGGCCTGTTAGGGGTTTGGGTGAAGCCAAGCGCAGTGACACTTGAGGAACTGTTGAAATCTGCAAAAAATGAGTTTTCTTGCAATTCCCCACCTGTACGGAGCAGTTACTGCGAAACATCCCCTGCATTATCGTGCTTTTGGAAGTCTATTCTTAGGGTATTTGAGGGGGGTTGCTAGTATCGGTTTTTGATGGCTGCTTTGGGAAATATTGAAAAACCTTGTTTTTTGCACTGCTAGCCGGCTGCATTCCCAGCATTCCCCACAACTCTCGTATTTTCTGTGTTTGGTCAATGTCGCGTGTGTGAAAGTCTTAAAATCTTGAGCGTGAAGATTGGGTTTGTTCTTGTAAGTTGTGTGGCTGCATCCCTTGCATTTCCAGCATCCTCAGCATCTGGGACATGAAAAATGACCTAGGCAAAAAGACGTCTTTTTCCTGACCCCAAACTTGAGGCACCCTGCAGTTTGTTAATGGGGGACTGTCCACTGGCGTCGGCGGATCGCGTAGCGATTTCAATATTTTGATTCCGGAAAGAGCAGTCTCCGCACTAGTCTTCAGTAGAGGGAGCTCTCAATCATCCTCGCCGACCAATTTGGTCACACATCACGATCTGCTGCAAACGGCAATCGGCCTGCACGAAAAAAGAAAAACAACTGCCTGCTCCGCCTCCGCAAAATCAACCTTTGTTGTCTAACCTGTGCTGGTACGGCTCAGCCAAATAATTTGATTCCGGAAAGAGCAGTCTCCGCACTAGTCTTCAGATGAGGGAGCTCTCAATCATCTTCGCCGACCAATTTGGTCACACATCACGATCTGCTGCAAACGGCAATCGGCCTGCCCGAAAAAAGAAAAACAACTGCCTGCTCCGCCTCCGCAAAATCAACCTTTGTTGTCTAACCTGTGCTGGTACTGCTCAGCCAAACAATTTGATTCCGGAAAGAGCTGTCTCCGCACTAGTCTTCAGTAGAGGGAGCTCTCAATCATCCTCGCCGACCAATTTGGTCACACATCACGATCTGCTGCAAACGGCAATCGGCCTGCCCGAAAAAAGAAAAACAACTGCCTGCTCCGCCTCCGCAAAACAACTGCCTGCTCAGCCTCCGCAAAATCAACCTTTGTTGTCTAACCTGTGCTGGTACGGCTCAGCCAAATATTTTGATTCCGGAAAGAGCAGTCTCCGCACTAGTCTTCAGTAGAGGGAGCTCTCAATCATCCTCGCCGACCAATTTGGTCACACATCACGATCTGCCGCAAACGGCAATCGGCCTGCCCAAAAAAAGAAAAACAACTGCCTGCTCCGCCTCCGCAAAACAACTGCCTGCTCCGCCTCCGCAAAATCAACCTTTGTTGTCTAACCTGTGCTGGTACTGCTCAACCAAACAATTTGATTCCGGAAAGAGCTGTCTCCGCACTAGTCTTCAGTAGAGGAAGCTCTCAATCATCCTCGCCGACCAATTTGGTCACACATCACAACCTGCTGCAAACAGCAATCGGCCTGCCCGAAAAAAGAAAAACAACTGCCTGCTCCGCCTCCGCAAAACAACTGCCTGCTCAGCCTCCGCAAAATCAACCTTTGTTGTAACCTGTGCTGGTACGGCTCAGCCAAATAATTTGATTCCGGAAAGAGCAGTCTCCGCACTAGTCTTCAGTAGAGGGAGCTCTCAATCATCCTCGCCGACCAATTTGGTCACACATCACGATCTGCTGCAAACGGCAATCGGCCTGCCCGAAAAAAGAAAAACAACTGCCTGCTCCGCCTCCCCAAAACAACTGCCTGCTCCGCCTCTGCAAAATCAACCTTTGTTGTCTAACCTGTGCTGGTACGGCTCAGCCAAATAATTTGATTCCGGAAAGAGCAGTCTCCGCACTAGTCTTCAGTAGAGGGAGCTCTCAATCATCCTCGCCGACCAATTTGGTCACACATCACGATCTGCTGCAAACGGCAATCGGTCTGCCCGAAAAAAGAAAGACAACTGCCTGCTCCGCCTCTGCAAAATCAACCTTTGTTGTCTAACCTGTGCTGGTACTGCTCAGCCAAATAATTTGATTCCGGAAAGAGCTGTCTCCGCACTAGTCTTCAGTAGAGGGAGCTCTCAATCATCCTCGCCGACCAACAAAGCGCAACAAAGTGTCTCGGTTGCGGACATCCAGACATGCAAGTACCGGACATTGAGCCGCCAGGAATCAAGCACCACGCATCCTCAGCTTGCAAGACTACCAAATCTTCAGACAGAGGCCACGCCAATTTCCCTCGTCCCTCAGCGCCCAGCAGAGGCGACCCCAATCTCCCTTCTTTCACAAGATTCCCAAAACTGTCAATCGAGAAGTTCCTCGTGATCCGACCTCTGCGACATCTCACTGGCTGTGCAATCAGCCGTCCACCCCAAAGACGGTACAAAAGGGTGTCTCAGCTGGGCAAATGGAAAGCGTCCGAGCCGCAACAATGTTGCCACATCAGCCCCATACCTCGCAAAGCGACGCCAAACTTCCTTGTCTTTTGCAAAGCTTTAGGGTCCCCATCCAGAGATGTAGCGGCATCAAACCTCTGCGGTACACTGGCAGCTCAACCTGCCACCTAGCACTGAGCAACATCAAAGGATACTAAGTTCTTTCTAAACGAGTGTTCAACCAACACTGAGCCATTGCGCAGAAATTGCAAACTAACACTGAACCAATCTTTCCAGCACACTATCGAAGAGCGGGGGCGGCGATTGTGAACCGGCAATGCGTTCTGCTTTTGGTTGTGGGAACGCATCTCGCAAGCTCCAAACAGTTTCTCCTGCCTCTGCTCCTGCGTTCGCTTTCGCTCCTGGCAGCGGAGAAGCTCAAGCTGGCCTGCTGGCCGCCCACGCAAGTCCAAGTGCGGTTTGGGGTAGGTGGGCGCTTGGTTGGCTCCAAAAGAGGGAACATAAATGGGCTCCCTTTGGCCTAGCTCAGAAAGGGTAACCTTAAACGACCCGCCACAAAAGTCGCCTTTGACTCGGCACCGAAAAAGGGGTCAACTAATTCCTTCAACGCCTGCCATCGGCTGCTTTTGGGGCTTCCCTTTGGAACCACCCCACATTGGCACCTTCGCAAAACGTCACGTCTTCAGCTCCCGGGTCTCACCTGCTCCGGGTTCTTCAGGAAGCTCCGCGCCTGAGATCGCGGAAGAAGCCCAGGAGTTGGGGGAGCTTCTTGAAAGCACGGGGCAGTTTTAGGGGTTGAGCTGGGAAGCCACGAGAAAAGCCAAGGGAACTTCGGGACATCCTTCGCCGGCGCCTTTGCAAACGGACGGACGAAATCCTGGCGCCAGTTGATGGGTCGTTTGTCTTTCAGTCATTCCCAGGTGCCAAGTGGATTTCGTGCAGGGGCAAAATCAAGCAGTCCTGGAGCAGGCTGAGGGCTGCAGCCTTGGGGGAGGAGCTGGGTTGGGGCGCCCTGGCAATGGCGGCTTTTGCTTCTTCCCATTTAAGCCAACCTAAAAAAGGCGTCCCTCCAACAAGGCACCCACTATACACCTGAACCTTGCCTTGTCAATGGTGGGTCCCCTTATTTTGGTGGAAAAGGCCATGGTTCAAATGGGCAAAGTGTATCTGTTAAGGAGCCCTGCCTCATTCATAGTGCTCTCCTTGGGGCGCCACGGAGATGTACTCCTCGCCGTTCCGCAGCTTCATCATCTCCTTGCCAATCCTCAGCATGCGCTGACACTGACTTGAGGAGCTTTAGCTGCGAAGTCTGCTGCGGTTTCATTGACATTCGAGCCAACACCCATATGGTGGATGGAGGAAACCATGCATTGATGGCAGGCATCCCACAAACAACCTTTCTTTGCGCATGTGACGTGTGCAGGGCGTTCCTGCGTGGCGTGATACACGTGTGCCTGATGCCCGTACGATGTGAGGCGCATTCAAAGTTCAGCCAAGATGTCACTTGGTCATCGTCTGAACATGCAGGTAATGCGTGCCTGACTTGAGCTCCTTAAGAAGTGGCTCCACTGTGCTTTGGGCAAGAGCTCTCTCCTAGCAGAAAGAGCAGTGGAGCCCATGCGCTCCTCCCAACAGTCCAACCAGCCAACCCACCCCATAGCCCACCCCAGCCGCCTACCCGCCCGACCAGCCGCCCAGCCAACCATCAAAACAACCCACAGAACCAACACAAAGAGCCAAGCCAAACAAACTGTGCAAGCAAGCAAAGCGCCAATTTAAGCAACCAACCCAGCAGAACCAAACCAAAAGTTAACAGAACCCACCAAGCCACCCACTCGAAACCCAGCCACATCGAAAGAGGAGCCCGTTTCGGGCCTATTTCCTCAGCCCCGCGCGCCGAGCGCTCCTTCTTGTGGCTGGGCCCTGCAAGCTGCGCCTCCGCTTGCTGCAGCTGCTGCAGCCTCGCCTCAGATCGAAAGGTGGATTCTGTTTGATTCCCGTCTTTGGGAGTGAAGGGACTGGGAACCTGGAAGTCCGCCATGTTCAACATCCAAAGGGCCGAGAACTAGATCCCCAGGGTAGGGAGTGGGGGGAAGCCTCTGATTGGAGCACCACGGAACGTGGCCCACATGCAGCGAGGACCAAAGAACCAAAACATGTCTCCAGTCGCCTCGGTCTGCTGGATGGTGCGCTTGGCCTCATGCAGCTCTCGAGCCTGCGCCCGGCCACACCCAGGCTTCGAAGGAAACAACTACCCAGCCGAAAACACTCTGAGGCCACCCCTCAACCCATCCCACCCAGGGAGTTTGAGCGAACCTGCGCAATCGAAAAAGCCGAAGGCTCGGAATGATCGATGAAGTCACAACAAACTATCTGAAGTCGACTTGCTTCCCAAGTCAATCTGGGCACAGTTCTGCTTATGTAACCACCAAACAAAAAAGGTGTCTGCCAATCTCAGCGCAGCGCTTCATGCACATCCCTCAATCCACTTGCGCCTCGCGCAGGCTCTCGAGCTTCGCCCGGGCGGCGCGCACCGGCTCGGCCTCCTCCTGTCGAGCTGGTGATCTCAATTGCCGGATGCCCGTTGACCCAAAATCCACTTTGTGAGCTCCATCTCTGGCTGAAAGGAGACCAAGCCACATTCTGGAAAGGTTATGTTGACAGCCTGTGCACAATCTTTACTTCTCGGATGGCAAGGAACCGATGCAGGATCAAGCCACCTGGAGGTGGATCACTTGCAAACGTCCCATCCTCTATTCTTTGACAAATTGCCCTGTTCGCAATCTTGACAGTTACCTTAGAGTTGATTGTTTTGGGTATCGAAAGCACGCGATTAAAAAATACTATTAATTGATAAAGTTCTCATCTTCGACACAATTGACAATTCAGAGTTCGGCTCAAACCTTGGACCATGTTCCAACACCTGATAAACACATGTCTCATGGCAGGTTCCATGTTGGTGGGTGTGAGGGTAAAGTTGACATTTCTTCCATGCTGCCATGTTTCAAGTGCTTAGGAGAGACTGGTCCTGGTGGCTTCAAAAGTTCAAATAGCAGCCCAACTCAAGTTGGGTTCACTAAAGTGACATCCTCGAATTTACCCTCCAAGTGGTAGCCGAACCGGATGCCACCCCGAATGTTCACTTTGAGAGACCCCGAATGATGATCCGCAACCGAAATGATATCAGGCAGCGCGTTTGTTTTAGGAGTAGCAGGTTCCCCCAGAAAAAAGTCTTCGTTGCTCCTTGGTTTCCTTTGGCTTCTTTGGTTTCCCTTTAGCTTCGGGTTTTTCTTTGCTTTCCCTCTGGTTTCCCTTTGGTTTCGACCCTAAAAGGGCCGCAAGAATGAACCACCAGAACCCCTCCCATGGGGCGTCAGCCTCAGGCAAGCTCCCGCTCGCCTCCAGACCAGACTCGAGGCCCGCTTGCACAGCCTTGGACCAGATTCAATTGACAGTTGCCGAAACCCTTTGCCCGCTGGTTCTATGAGAACGGAAAGGGCTTTTATGGGTCCTTAGGTAAACTCACCTACTCAAACTACCAACAAGGATTTTCGGGCGCTGATTATCCAGTCCTACCATGGTTTGTGGAGCTTCTACAATCCCGATTGAGCCAAGTTAGCCCCACTTTTGGAGGTGGCGCCCCTTTTATGGCTGGTTTAAAGGGACATTACAACAAAAAATAGACGTTTCCTGACAACCCTCGCGGTTTGGTTGGCACACTTACACCGGCGTGATAGACTGCACAATTCTCCTTGGGAGTACAGGGAATGACTAAGCCAAAACGGCTTGGAAGTGTGCCATCTACTTGCACCCAGCGGGGTTGACAAGAACATGGCTGGCTCCTTTTTGGACCTTGTGCCGCCTTTCGAAGGCGAAACCAACAAGGGAGAACAAGAAGGGGGTGCCAAAATAGCACAAACGACTCAAGGGGCGTCTCAAAAAGTAGTCCAAATTTTGACCACCCAACTGCGATCACTGGGTGCCGAGACAGACTCGATGGTGTCCCAGTCCCCGTCTTCGATGGCCTCCTCGGCGTTTGTGCGCAAAGCCGTGGCCGCTGGCGGCTTCGCGGTGGGTGGGTTGGTGTCTTGAAGATTACACAGTCCACTTGGCACATGGAAGGTACCCGGAAGATCAACGTTCTTGAAGGACGTCATACTGGTGTGAGGGAGGGTAACATGGAACCCAAAAAGAGAGTCTGCCAAAAGGAAACGCCTCCAAAAAGTGTGGTTGTGGGGGTCCATGTTAGGCAAAAAGGGGGTTGGAAGACTTACATCTTCTTCAAAAGGCCCAAAAGCTTCCATTCTCTATGGGAACAAGGGCAATCCTGAGAGATGCTGCCGTATTGGATAGCAGTAGAAAGCATGGCTACCTTCACCAAGGATGCCAAAGCCAAAAAGCTGCTTTCAACCGAAGAAAAATGACAATGACAACAATCTGATTCAGGGCTCCATTTGTTGATTGCCCCACCGTAGACTTAACCCCAGGGACCCCTTGTGCAGAGGTCAGCGTGGGGTGGAAACACAAAGACCCGACGTCTCAGACCAAAAGCTTGGTGTTGCTGTCGTTCCTTGCCCCCGGCGTTCTCACACAGACTTGGGCCTGCTTCAGCAGGGTTCTGGCTGGCTTGGAGTTCAGTAAGGGTGGACTGATTCAAGGTATGATCGGAACTGGGCCAGATGGCAGTTTGCTTGAGGGCTACTCTTAGTTCGGTTTGCTTTAAGCAGATGGGAAGAAGTTCTCCTGGCCAGAAAAGAGAATGAGTGCGCAATCCTCCCCGCCCCTTTGACTGTGACCCATCCACATGTCATGTGAGCGTGTTCTTTTTGAGGTCCCTCCTTTGGGGTTGCGTTAAGGAAATGGAAAGCAAAACCATGTTGTCCAGGGTATACATAGATCGATATGGATAGATAGATGGATAGATAACTGGATAGATAGATAGATAGATAGATAGATTAGATTAGATTAGATTAGATTAGATTAGATTAGATTAGATTAGATAGATAGATAGATAGATAGATAGGCATACATATGTGCATAGATATACACACAGATTTTGGAGACAAACCCAGATGGAGATGTCTCGACATACGCACCCCCAACACAAACATAAGGTTGGCTTAGTCTCGGTTCCCTTTGACTAAACCAACCCCTGGCTAGAGAGCGTCCGAAAGACGTGAGACATGCCAAGCGCCAAGCCATAGATCAAGACCCCGACCCGCCCACCCCACCCAAACCCTTTGGTTTCCCGTTGGTTTTCCCCAAAATAGTTACCCCCAAAGAGAGGCGTGTTTTTTGGGCGCATCCCTTTTGGGGTTGGGGGGAGAAGGGCAGAACCCACCATAGCGGCGCGGCCTGGATCTCCTCCGCCGCCCTTTGGCGCTGGGCCACCTCCTGCTCGCGCTTCGCCTCCTAGGATGCGACCCGCGCGCCGAAAAACCCGGGCGCGGCCGGGGAACCCATCCTGTGGTTGGTGACCAAAGGGGAAAACAAACGGAAAACAAGAACGAAGCCAGAGGCTTCCTTACCTAGTGATGTGTAGGTTGGCTGCTTGAAGTATATCACTGTTTGGTTGGGTACCAAAGGCAAACCAAAATAAAACAATCTTCGTGGAGGACCCCCCCATGACTCACAATCCCAGCTTAGTATTTAAGGGCTCTACCTAAAGCCATCCATTTAGGTGTGGGGCTGTCCGCAAAGAAGCTTCGAGCACCAAACGCCACGTTGGCTTGATGGGCCAGTCGAACCCTTCCAGGCTGCCTAGTTGGATTCTTCACCGTTGCTGGTGATGATATAAAACCCAGGCCTTCTTCGAGGCTTCTCCTTGGCTTATCGATGGCTTTTCCCCCCTGGACGTGTCGAAACAGCCGCTTGCGCCGCTCGCCTCCTCCCATTGCGCCAGCAGCAAGCTCGCACGCTGTATCGGTGGCTCCTCGCAGCACGAAATGTTGGCCCGCGGATAACTGTTAAACACACATCGATGTATGTTATATAATCCGTTCCCCCTATTAATAAAGGTCTCCCTAATAATAAATATTTGTTTTGGAAGTCCCAAATCCGGGAATACTACTTGTAGAATAGCCAATACTAAACCAATTCTAAAGTAGGTATTTTCCTGCCCGTACTCAAATCCAGCCCCATTAGGGGGACCCCGGGGGCACGTTTCCTTTACTACAGCTGTACTACAAAGTTGCGACTTTCGAGCCAGAGCTCCGGGAGCACGTTTCCTTTACTACGGTTGTACTACAAAGTTGCGACTTTCGAGCCAGAGCTCCGGCAGCACGTTTCCTTTACTACGGTTGTACTACAAAGTTGCGACTTTCGAGCCAGAGCTCCGGGAGCACGTTTCCTTTACTACGGTTGTACTACAAAGTTGCGCCTTTCGAGCCAGAGCTCCGGGAGCACGTTTCCTTTACTACGGCTGTACTACAAAGTTGCGACTTTCAAGCCAGAGCTCCGGGAGCACGTTTCCTTTACTACGGTTGTACTACAAAGTTGCGACTTTCGAGCCAGAGCTCCCTTTGAGTGACCCAAAACCCACAACCAAAAACAACAAAACGTGACCTCAACTCCCGCTATTTAAATTCCTTACTCAGAAATGTGCGTTTGAAGCGACTTTACGGAACGGAACAGGGGGACCACAGTTGCAAACAAGCCTACACAGAACAAGAAGTACCTCCAAAACCTGCCCTCCAGAACCAGGGGACCCCTAATAATAAAAATTGTTTTGCAGGCCGGGTATTTTTTTTAATTAGGGGGGGCGTCGATTATTATTATTAGGGGGAAGGGATTAGATATATATACGCTACCTCCCCACTCCGTGTCCCTGTTTTTGGCGTTGAATCCTTTGAGTGTGCCTGGTGGGAGAGTAGAGCAATTTGTTTTCGCACTTTTCTGGGTGCGCTGTCCTACGGCGTAGGACAGCACACCCAATTGAACTAACAAGTCCAAGTATGTTTTTCTGAGAGCATCAAACACTACCGTTCCCGGCTTCAGGCCACACACCGAAACCCGGCATCGTCCACGGCCAAGCACTGCGGATCAAGAAAGATCAACTCGCCCCACGACCCCTCTTTAGACTCGGGCCGGCACAGATACCTCACTGGCCCGTGGCCGGAAAACTTCTTCCGCTGGCCCGAAACCTCCTGCTGAGTCTGCACGGGCTCTTTGAGGATCCTCTTCTCGCCGCCGAATCAAAACCCGAACCTGCGTAGGCCTGGGGCAAGATGATGTGTGAGATGTTGTCGAAGCTTGGTCTCTGTCGCGGCCGCATGGCCTCAGGAAGTTCATCAAGGGCTTTGTCCCGAATGCCAGCCTGGACACGGCCCCACCATGACATGGGCTGGCAGGTAACGCAGGACCAAAGACTTGGTAGCAGTCTTAGCCTTCTGCAAGTTGAGCTCACCCGCATCCACAGAAGCCATCTCTCTGGAGGAAATAGCGGAGCAAAGAATGCCTTTTGTTTAGCAGATACTTTCATTTGGTGAAATCAGCACACTGGAAAAGTAACAAACACTGCCAGTAGCAACACGTGTTTACTTCTAGCTGTTTTACTTTTTGCCTTTTCCCCAGTACAAGCAAAAAAGAAAGAGAAGAAACAATTTGAGCAAACTTCCGGACACATGAAAAGTAAAAAGTAAAAAAGGTTTACTGTTTGCAGGGTATTTGTGCTAAGCAAAACAAAAAGAAAGCATCCCTAGTCGCTTTTTACGCCTTCTCGAATAAAGTAAAAACACACGAGTTTGCTTTTACTTTTGGCGGTTTTACTTTGTTACTTTTCATGCGTCCACAGGTTTCACTTACTTCTTTGCGTTTACATTTTGTACTGTGTACTTTTGCTGGGTTGTGTTGTACTCTTACCACCAAAATAGGCAACTCAGCATGTTTCCACGGTGTTTGCCCTGGTGTCTACAAAAACACGCATTGGGTGCAGGTAATCAAAGGAAGTTTAGAAGGAACTTCCGTGTTACGGCAACTAATTGAAAGCTAGCTCTCTCAGACAAATGACAAGAGAAGGAATAAGCCCACGAGGAAAAATGCGCGCGCGTGTGGCAGGGGAAGAGAAAGTGAGAAAGTCGCAAAAAGCGTGGCGCTGTGCGTGCGTCTGGTCGGAGCGGGCTCGGAGCGGTCTCGGAGCGGTCTCGGAGCGGGCTTGGCGCCGGGACCATTGGCACGGCAACGCAGAGGTTTCGCAAGGATTGAATTGCGTGGCAGGCGCAGAATTTTGGTGAGGTCGGGTGCAGATTTCGTGGCAGGCGCAGCACTTTCGCAAGGTCAACTTTTCTCAAGGTTTGAATTGCGTGGCAGGCGCAGCACTTTCAAAAGGTCAGGTGCTGATTTCAAGGCAGGCGCAGCACTTTCGCAAGGTCAAGTGTAGATTTCGTGGCAGGCGCAGCACTTTCGCAAGGTCAAGTGCCACATTCGTGGCAGGCGCAGCACTTTCGCAAGGTCAAGTACAGGTTTCGTGGCAGGCGCAGCACTTTCGCAAGGTCAAGTGCCAAATTCGTGGCAGGCGCAGCACTTTCACAAGGTCAAGTACAGATTTCGTGGCAGGCGCAATGCTTTCGCAAGGTCAAGCGCCAAATTCGTGGCAGGCGCAGCACTTTCACAAGGTCAAGTACAGATTTCGTGGCAGGCACAGCACTTGCGCTTGTTTAGGTACAGATCGATAAATAAATAGATTGATAGATAGACTAGATCAAATAGATAGATGCATAGATAGATAGACGGTTCGATAGATAGATAGATAGATAGAGAAAGATAGAGAAAACAGAGAGATAGATAGCTAGATAGATAGAAAGAGAGATCGATAGATAGATAAATAGATAGATAGATAGAGAGAGAGAGAGATAGATAGATAGATGGAAATATAGATAAAGAGATATGTAGATAGATAGATAGACGGATAGATAGATAGATAGAGGAAAGAGAAAGAAAATAGAGATAGATAGACAGATAGATAGATAGATACATAGATAGATAGATAGAGAGATAAATAGATAGATAGATAGGTAGATAGATAGATAGATAGGTAGATAGATAGAAGAGATAAGTAGATAGATAGATAGATAGATAGAGAGATAGACGAATAGATAGATAGATGAAAGATAGAAAAAATAGAGATAAATCGATGAATAGAAAGATAGTTAGATAAATAAAACCATAACCTCCCAAACAGAAAGTGTTTTCCTTTGTGACTGTGCCGCCTGGAACAATTCTACTATGTGAGATGGCACGCGCAGCACTTTCGCAAGGTCAACTTTCGCAGCCGGGGCTTGAAAATCGCAACTTTTAAGTACGAAAGTCGTACGCGAAGTCAACTTTCGCAGCTGGGGTTTGAAAATCGTAACTTTTAAGTACGAAAGTAGTACGCTCCACTTTCGCAGCCGGGGCTCGAAAATCGCAACTTTTAAGTACGAAAGTAGTACGCGAAGTCCACTTTCGCAGCTGGAGCTCGAAACTCGCAACTTTTAAGTACGAAAGTAGTACGCGAAGTCCACTTTCGCAGCCGGGGCTCGAAAATCGCAACTTTTAAGTACGAAAGTAGTACGTAAAGTCCACTTGCGAAAATCGCAACTTGTAAGTACGAAAGTAGTACGCGAAGTCAAATTTCGCAGCTGGGTCTCCAAAATCGCAACTTTTAAGTACGGAAGTAGTACGTGAAGTCCACTTCCGCAGCTGCTGGAAAATCACAACTTTTCAGTACGAAAGTAGTACGTGAAGTCCACTTTCGCAGCTGGGGCTTGAAAATCGCAACTTTTAAGTACGAAAGTAGTACGAAGTCAACTTTCGGGGCTTGAAAATCGCAACTTTTAAGTGCAGATATAGATGGATAGATAAAGAGATGGATAGACAGATAGAGAGATAGCTAGAGAGATAGATAGAAAGAGAGATAGAGAGAGAGATAAATAGATAGATAGAGAGAGAGAGAGAGCAAGAACAGAGAGAGAGAGAGAGAGAGAGAGAGATAAAGAGGTGGAGAAATAAATAAATAGATAGAAAGAGAGATAGAGAGACACATAAATGAATAGGTAGATGGATAGAGAAATAGATAGATAGATGGATAAATGGATAGATGGAGACGTAGAAGAGAGATAGAAAGATGTGTAGATACATAGAGAGAGAAAGAGAAATATAGTTAGGTAGATAAGTATATAGAGAGATAAAAAGATTGATAAATACACGAGAGATAGAGAGATAGATAGAGAGATAGATAGATAGATAGATAGATAAAGAGAGAGAGAGATAGATAGATAGATAGATAGATAGAGAGATAGATGGATAGATAGATAGAGATAGAGAAAGAGATAAAGAGATAGAGATAGAGAGATCTATAAAGAGATAAATAGATAGATAGATAGACAAACAAAAGATAGATAGACAGATACGTAGATAGATAGATAGAGAAATAATAGATAAATAGATGGAAAGAGAGATAGAGAGATAGATAGATAGATAGATAGATAGATAGATAGATAGATAGATAGATAGGTAGATAAATGGAGAAATAGATAGATAGATAGATAGATAGATAGATAGATAGATAAATAAATAGATAGAAAGGTAGATAGATAGATACACAGATAGAAGATAGATAGATAGATAGATAGATAAGCAGATTGATGGCTAACACGAGAGATAGATAGATAGGTAGTTAGGTAGATAGATAGGTAGAGAAAGATAGATAGACAGATAGATAGATGAACAGAGAAGAGACAAAAGAAAGAACAGCACAAAAACAAGCAAACGAAAGAAAGAAAGAAAAGACAGATAGCAAGAAGGAAAGAAGGGAGGAAGGAAGGAAAGAAAGGAAGAAAGGAAGAATGACGGAGAAAAAAGAAACAATGAAAAGGAAGAAGAAGAGAAAAAGAGTCAAGAAAAGAAAGAGAAAGAGAACTGTTTGTATATGTTTGAAACTTCCGCCCACCGGCTTCGCCGGCTCTACTGGTATGCATGTTGTTGGAGTTGTGTTCACTGCAGAAATCAAAGACCTGGTTTTTTTCCGGGTGTTTGCAACTTTTTAGGCAGAATTTCCCAGTGTGCTGAGTCATTCTGCTGCAAAACCTAGGCTGTGTTGTGTTCTCCTTTTTGGGGGGGGGGGATCATACATATATATATATATATATGCACAAATGCAAAACAAAAATACGCGCCAGAAGTCATGGACCCCAGGACGGTCCAGAAATTGTTTTTATACAAGAATGCAAGAGGAAGTAATGGCCCGCCAACAGAAACCAATGTCCGAAGTCTTAGCATCCCATACGTGTCTTTTCGCAATCAGCTACAGTAAGGCGATTCTGCCTGTTTCAGCAACTGGTTCCACAAGATCCACGCGATGTCACGCCTGCCTCATGAGACACAGCCATCTGAGCTTCGCGTAAGGCCTGCAAAAGGAGAAGCGGAGACCGACATTTCAAGGGCCCTATGTGGGTATGTCTCAAAATAGGGGGACCCCCAAAACTTGTGGCGTCCTTTTTGCTTTTTTAAGAGTACGAGTACCCAAAGAAATCGCTGACACGTGCTTGCCTTCTGCAACATCTTCACGTCCCGCTGCTGCAAGGCCTCTCAAAGTCCCATTCGCGAAGCCACGAACTGGGCGAAGGGGCCATGAAAAACAGGCCTACCAGCTAGAGAGATGCTGGCGAGAGACTGCGAAGCCAGCCAAGGTGCGAGTGTGCTTTGCAGGTGCCGGTCGACTGAGCGAGTGCGAAGCGAGTGCAAAGCGAGTGCGAAGCAAATCCACATAGCAAACTGAAAACACTGGGCACTCGTCCCACTTTCCCATTCCATCCCGATGAAGGCGAGGCACGAGCACACAAAAAGTCACAGCAATATGCTTCGATCAAGCACATGTCCAGGCAGCCCTGCGCTTGTTTGGGGACACGTTCGTGCAATGCTGACAGGCCGACTGGGGCTTGGTTGCATCTGCATCTGGCAAATTGAGAACCATGATCATCAAATAACAACATATTGGCATTGTCTGCTATTGTGGTTGCTTCCTAAAATAGGAGATCTGAAACAAACATGCCGTGTGTCCGTTTGTTTTCCCTTGAAGAAGCAGTGCCCATCATTGAGGACACAAATCCACACGGCTGAGTGGGGATCCCCTCAAAAGTGATTGGAGCACACATTGCCGGGCAAACTATGACCAACTAGACTGCGGGAAGAGTTCGGGGCGGTAAAATTCGGTAAAATTCGGCCGGAAAGCAAGACTACGGATCTTGTCTTATTGTTCGGCGGGATTACTACACATTCTTGGCGCTGTTACCCGTTTTTCAGCCCCGACCTGTTCCCGGACTACATCCGTGCCTGCTCCAGCTTGGCCAGCAGCTCCTCGCGCTGCCTCTCCTGCGCAACTTGGCCGGAAGGTGCCCGAGCGAGGCCTCGTCCGAGCGCGAAGAAACTTGCGCCAGCTCCAAGAAAAGGCCTGGGTGAGAGGTGCTAGGTGAGGCCGACAGGACCCTCAAACTGGGCCTGAAATGAAAGATGTGGCCCAAAATGAAGGGGTCCAGGCGTTTGCCTTCCACGCAACCTGCAAGACCCAAGCCAGCCCTCTCCTCCTCCAGCCAATCCTGCAACGCCTCCTCAGCTTCCTGGAGCCAAGTTGTCGCTTGCCCCTAGCCGATATTGAGAGGAAATGGCCCCCCCATGGTGGGCTTCCTTTGGCTTCCACATACAACCAGCCAAAAGAGAGCTCACCCAAAAATATCTTCCATCAGTCGGGCTTCTGGCTCCCGGAAAGACTCCAGGCGTCTCTGACCCTCCCCCTCCCCGCCCGCAGACCTGGAGCTGCTCCGACGGTAAGCTCACCTCGACCAAGGGAGTCGCAAGGCCATGTGGATGTGAACTTTAATGGATCCCGGACCCTTTGGGGAGTTGTGTCCACCAACCACTGTTGTGGTTCCACATTGAAATTCATAGCCATCATAAGAAGCAACTTGGCGTGTACTGGTCACCTACTTCTCGCGAAGCTAAGCTTGTCCCCCGTTAAACCTTCTTTACCCCGGATGTTGATTGTGGCTCCACTGACAAGGCTCGTTCACTCTGAACGACAGGACGGCGGCCGACGGCCGGTCGAAATTTTCAAGGCGCGTTCAACCTCCAAAACATGTGCAAGGAGCCCTTCTTGAATGTGCATGTAAGAGAGCCTCTGTCAACGCCACATCAGGAACTCAATTAATTGGCGAGAATCTGGAAAACTCAGCTCGGGGATTCACCGGTTAATTTCACCTCCTAAATTTGCCAAACAAAAGTCGTGCATGTATCGGCTGATCCACCAAAACGCCCCAATCACCTGTTCCATTTCAACTGGGGCTGAAGGGTGGGTTCAATTCAGCGCAGCGGGCAGTCATGCAATGCGTGTAGATTAATGGTCATGAAACATTCTCCCTCTCCCCCTCCCACGCTGCTTCCTTATAAATGTTCACAGCAGGCAGTCATGGCACAACATCCGGTCTTTGGCCGCGCTGTCCAGCTTTGCGCTTTGTCTCACCCTCCATGCGCAGCCTCTGACCACGCGAACCTCAACCCGGGGCCCCGCGCCATCTTCGCGCTCTCCACAGCCGCCTGCAGGCGGGAGATGACCCGGGCGTTGAGCGCCAGGCACAGCCTCAAGCGCCGCCATCCGATGCCAGGATGCGCCGTCTGATGCCTGCAAAAATTGACGTGTGCGTGCGTGCGGGTGTGTGCGATCGACACATTTGATATAACGTTCAAAACCAAATTATGAAAACCGGATGTTGAATAAAAATGATAACTCATTCCTGTCAATTGCGTTAGAGCGAACACCTGTCAAACATACCCTTTTCTCCGGAGCTGATTCTCAATAAAATAGACATATGTTCTACATATTAGTCGCTGCGTGCGTGCGTGCGTGCAGCATCTCCGGGAGGCCAGCAAGCACACCCAACCCCTTTGAAAACTGAGGCAAAAGTTCAGACCAACTGTGCCGCTTCAACCCTTTGGGGGTGGCCCCGCGAGCCATCCAAACCTGTGTCGAAGCCTCGAGGCCCGAGGGCCCGGGCTCCAGGCGCGCCATCTCCCGGCGCTTCATCAGCGCCTCCATCACCCCCAGCCGCTCCTAGCGCGGAAACCCCGGAAAGGCCGAAGTCAGAGGGAGCACCTGAGAACATCGGAGACAACAACCTTCCTGTACATTGGCCCGTCCTCATGGCTTGATGAGAAGCTGTCCCTTGGTATCACAGAAAGTGGCACCGGATTAAAAAAAAAAAAGCAACCGAGGAGCTTCCAGTGGGTCAAGGGAAATCATTCCAAGCACAGTTGCGCCATGGGCGCAAGTCAAAGTGGCCAATGATCCGGCGTAGAATGCAATAATCCACATAGAACTGGCTTGAAATTAAGACAAGACACAGGACCTAGTAGCAAAAGCAAGTCGCATGAATTCCATTTCACACTTGCGGACGTACCCGACAAATCCCGTGTTTGACTAGCTTCATGTAGAACTTCCTGTAAAAGGTTTGTAAGGCATGTGGACCTTTTTGCCCGCGAACCCACCCTCCTCCGCCGCGTGCAGGGCCTGTGGCCTTGAAAAGAACAGAAGTTGCGCAAGGCGGAGCATGCACTCGTTTGAAATAGTTGAAAAAGTAACAAGCAACCAACAGCCAACCGCCAACAACCCACAGCCAGCCATGTTCAACAGGCCCGACAGTACGCCATGCACTTCTCTGCAAATGAACATGGAACCCAAACAACTAAACCATCTTTAGAGGAACGTTCTTCTTCGGGGGCAAGGCACGCCCAATTGGGTTCCATGTGAATTCGTAAGTGGTAAGCCATTGGAAAATGCAATCGCTCCTGCTCTCAATGATCTCGTCAATACTCAAGGTGGTAGAAACCCGAAGATTTCCCGTGAGGTCTTCAGGGTACCAAAGATCAGAACGCCTCCCGTACTTGACATCTGCCCATTCCGCAAATTGAACTCAGTTGCTGCACCAAATAGAAATGACCCTCATCAAACCTGTCAACGTTGACCTTAGGCTAGAAGCTCCCAGAACCCCGCTCAAACTGACCTTCCTTTGAAGGGACATCTGGTCGGTTCCGCATCGGCCGGAAAAAAGGTTGAAGAGCGCAGCCAGAGGCTTGGTCAACGGCCAACCCTCAAACATGGTTTGTTTCCATCATCATGTTCGCAAGCCGCGAAGACGGAAGATGTGGCCACACGTGCGCGCGGGCTACAAGCAGCTCCCGACATCCCAGCCGGTCGCCGGGTCCCCCCGAGGCGGGCACTTGAAGCACGGCCTGGCGATCAGCTTCCAAACACCCGACACATCCTGAGAATCTCAACTGCGACTCTCGAGCCTTCAGGACAGAAAATTCGAGCTGCATCGAGTGATGGTGAGGTTGCATGAGGTTTTTTCAGGGTGGATGAGGTTACGTGGTGGCCCACCCCCGCACTGCACGCAAGGACTTTAAGTCACTCAGAGTTATGTGTGTGCAGCCCGCCCGCTAAGCTGTACATATGGCTTGGAGTTCATGGGGATTTGATCGGACGGGTGCTTGAACAGTTTGAGGGAGCTGGACTATGAGTCCAGCTCTGTGAAGGGGATTCCAGGGCATTGAAAAAGATCCCGCACCAAGGGTGCTGCACGGAAGAGACTGGGAGCTGCGGTCTGGCAAAATGCTCATGGTATGCCACATCCTTGGTCCGCGTAGCATCATGATCAGGGGGTGGTTCTGAGGCCCTATCACACGGGACTCCACAACTATCTCAGAACAAAGGAACCCCCAACATGTGGTTTTCCTTTGCTTTTTACCTTTGAAGACGCACCCGCATGACTCCTCTGTTGGGCTCTGGGCACTTGCATCCATTGCTCTCATACTGCGATCTATGCGCCTTTGAACATGTCTGCGTCAAAATGAGTGTGGTGGCTCTCTGCGTGTTGGTGATATGGAAAGATGTTTCACTTGCAAGCACAATGTGAATGCCTTGGTGGACATAAGTGTCCATGCAAATGATGTCCACCAAAAGGTCCCACCAATCAGAATTCATACCTTCGTTTTGAGGGACCTTGCTTTCGGATTTTCGCGCTTCGTCCAGGAGTCCCTCATATGGAGACAAACTGATATGGAAATGGAGGATGCCCTTTTCGGGCGGGGGGGGGGGTAAAAAGGGAACCCCCATTTGAGGGAGTTTGGATCAACCCCCTTGAATACGCTGGGGGGTTGCCATTTGTTGCGGCTCCACTTACTTGGGCTTCAATTTTCATGCGACCCGCTGACGGACCAGGAACAAAAATGGGGGAAAAGGGGCAGCTGACTTAGATTAGAACGAAAAAGAGCACCACTGGCAGCCTGGGGCTGGCCATTTTGGCATGTGTTTAAAAAAAAATGCGGGTACCCTTTTCAGGTTGATTTCAAGGAAAGCGATTTTGGGTGTCCTCGAATTTTGACATATGCTCGTTCGGAGAACCCCACGTGACCCTCACACCGCCTCGCCACGACCAAAGCCGCTTTGACAGCCACCAGGTCTTCAGAATCGAAGGCAGCCTGCGGGGTAAACCCGTTTTTGCGTTCGAGGAGTGCCCCTTTCAGACAACCTCGAACTGTATATCCTCAAAATGGCACATAGGTATGTGTCAAAATACGGGGCCAAATGATTGGTTTCCTTTTGGTTTCCCTCTTAACCAACTTGAAAAGCCTACCCTCAAAAAGAGGTATAGGTATACACACACTTCAAAACCTGCCCTCGAAAGTAGCGGTGGAATCCTCTCGGAATGTCCCAAGCAACGGGGTCCTTTCCTGAGGATTGTCCCCCCCCTTCTGGTGCGCCCTGGATTCATTTTTTGCTTCATGGACCCAAGCAACAGGTCGTGGGTCCCCCAAAACAGGGTCAAACAACCCTTCAAACATCCGTCCAGACCTCCCCAGGTAGTCCTAAAGATGGCGAACAAGGGATGATACCGTGATACCCCTCTGGTGCCTCAAACATCGTGATTGTTGCATTCACCCTTTTACTCGTGTCTTTCTTCTTACTTCCATTGAAACGAGGGTACCCCCAAACAGGTTCTCGGCCTTCAAACATCCGGAACTCCGCGCCTCCAGCTGCCGCTCAGCCGCCTCCCGCGCCGCCGCCTCTCATTGCTCCAGGGCTTGGTGGTTTGTTCCTCCCTTGCCGACAGTCCAACTTTTGGGATAGGTCATAAATCCCTCTAAGCTCTGACAAAATCCGAGAAACGCCGAAAGGCAGGTCTGGGAACCGCCAAGTCAGGAACGCCCCTGGAATGTTGGTTTCTGCTGTAGGTCTGCTAGAACACCCCACCCCACCCCCCTGGTACAGATTTATCGGCTTTTGGGGATGGACCAGGCAATGAGCATGTGAATGATACTCGTTTGAAGTTGGTATCCTTGTTGGGTTGCTTGAAGGAATGAAAGCATAGCCGGGCCCTATGTTTGGCAGGATCCCCCATGTGGGCACGTATCCAAATGGCCGCATCTCCTTCGGATTGCCCTTTGAAGCTTCATCCCCACCCCCCCACCCCCAACTGGAACTCATGAGGCTCCACCCCCTGGTCGCACATGATTTCATTTACCCAAGGGAAACTACTGGGACTTGAGAAAACCACGGCCTTTAACGAAGACCGGGGCAAGTCCCAAAGCTCACCCCCAGAAGGCCTCCCTGTTCCTGAGACGGGCGAGGGCCCCTAGTCCACAATAACTTGGCTGGGCACGAGGCGCAAATAGCAGGGCCAAAGCTGCAAAAAGACCCTAAGTGTTCCAACAGAACATACAACTTGTCAAAGGTTTGGGACCCTCCATGCCTGGGCCCCTGAAGTGACTATCACAAGACTTATGCTTCCCCTTTGGGCATCACACCAAAGGAAACAAAAGCAATGTTTCGAACCAACAAAAACGAAAACTTGGGAATCTGCTCGAGGGCATTCTGCACTTCCTGCGCTGCCCGTCTGACATCCCAGCCTCAGCCCTCCATCTGCATAGCGTCTCCTCAGCGCCTGGCAGGGCTCCAATCAATGCAAGACAAGTGGACAAGACCGAAAAATAGTTCTTCAGAAACCCCTGTGTATTGTCCAAGGGGAAATCAAAAGATGCAAATCACGGGCATGCCCCCATGAATAAGCCGATGTCCCAGTCCTGCTCCCGCCTGGCTCCAAGGATCCAACCCCAGTCAGATCCGCAAAAACTCCTTGCCCGACTGGAAGAATGGACATCAGGGATCCATTTGTCCCGATTCTGAAGCCCAGGGTTTGACTCCTGGGCTCGAAACCTGGGTTTACAGAAAGATGGCGCAAACTCCCCCGCTTTGGTTTAGAAGTCCCCTTGCCTTTTCCAGAAAAAGGGAGCTGTGACATCTACTTTCGCCCTGCAGTCCTTTCAGGAAACCACCAAACCGCTGGCTCCCATGGACTTTTCGCGCCTTGGCACGGCAGGCGACGCTCCTTGCACAGCGCCAGCGCTTCTTCGAGAGCCTCCAAGTCCTCCGCAGGTGGCCAGATGAACACGGGTCTGAAGAAAGACAAACCCAACCAGCCACTTTTGAGGTGGCTCCCTAGCAAAATTCATGGCCACATGGGTTTCCCTGTGGGGTTCTCCCTTCAAAACCTGAAAGGGATGTTGCCCCCCCGAGGACGCGCTTGGGTATTTTTTTCTTGAGACTCGGTACCTTTCAAAAGGAAAGCCACCCATTTTGAGGGGTTCCCCTAGTCCATCACCTAAAAATCCTCTAGTGGGTGAATGTGATATTCAACATGGCCAAACCAGGATGTGATTTCTTTTGGGGACCCTAAAAGGGCACTGCCTGTGGTTTCATCAGCTTCTGCCCATCTGCCCATCTGATTTGAGTCCCCCCCCCCCAAACGGCTAGAACCAAGGCAGCTACCAAGCACGCCTCAACACCCATTTCTTGGTTGACGTTGGAAGGGGAGCAAAAAAAATAATGTTTAGCAGCTGAGTGGGGATTTCCCACCAAACCCACAAGAAGCAAAAGTGTAAAATGTTTCCCAACGAACCAATATTTGATGAAAGGGGCTGGTTCGGATGTTTGGGCACACGCCCAACTGAGAATTCAAAATGGCATCTGCAAGGCGACCAAACGGGCCACCTCCCAGCTGGCACAAAAGTGTGCGCCTGCTCGGCCAGGGCAGCCGCCAGCTTGCCTCGAGCCTCGCCAGCCAATGGCCGGCCCGTGCTGTCTTACCAAAGGAGATAAGCTCAAAAGGACAGGCAATTCAGGCCGGACAACGTGAACAACTGAGGAATCAAACCTGGTATTGCAGAGGTCCTCTCAGTGTGCCAAGCGCCCCTCAGCCGACAGTGCCGACAGGCGCGCTTCAAACAACAGGCATCTCTTAAAATACATGACTTTGCGGCTAAGCTCGTTTTACCCCCCCCCTTCCTGGTGACCTTTATAAGATGTTCCAAATGGAGCTGTCTGAGAAGGAAACCCAAACCTCCACCAAATAACCATGGCTACATCATCACTTAAAGCGGGTTCCTTGAGCAGCTGGCCCTAAACCCCTGCTCCCCCAGTCTTCCACACCATGCGTTGATCTTTCAAGCAACACCCCTCCAACACATGTTGAAAGAAATAACTGCCCCCACCGGAGCTCCGGGAAACGTGAACAACCAAAGAAGCCCCGGCCACGAGCCTGCTCTTCGAGATGCTCTTGCTCCAGCAGCTCCTGGCTTGCACGCTTTGATACATACCCGCATACATAGGTGTACTTTTAGAAAAATATGATGGGTTCCGCTAGGATTGGAACCAAACTGAAGCTTGTGGAATTCATCTATCCTCTACCAAACTGACTTCAAAAAGAGGGCCAGTCTTTCATATTTGAGCAAAGCACAAGGTAGACTGAAACCCCTGCGTCAGAATCTATCTAGTCTATCTTGGGGAAATCAATCAAGTAGAATCCTGGCTACCGGCCCAACACAACAACTGTGACAGTCCGAGATCTGCTGCCTCATGCAACGCCTAGCACCAAGTCGCGACCTTTTGGTCAAAGCACTTGCATCTTCGCTTTGGCCAGTGAACGGCCAAGAATTCCACTCAGTGTACCTGCTGCCCATTTCCGTGTTGCGCTGGCAGCCCCCCGGGCTGCAAACCGTCCTCCGTCTCTGTGCTCTGTGCCTCTCTGACGCTTCAGACTCGGCTTCTAGGCGTCAGCTCGTGGAGACTCCGCCAGTCGGCGAGACGCTTGACTTCGCAGGGAAAGGAGTGCTGGACTTCACGATGCTCTGGTTCTCTTTGCTCACAAAGATCGGCTTCCCACCAGTGTGCCTCTGACGCTTCTTCCTTGGTAGTGCTACTTGGCTTGGAGCCATGGCACCAAAAGCAGAAATGGGGTCGCCTCAAGACCCTCTCTTTGGCTCTATGTGATTTGCGACCCAAGCAAAAAGGGGTCAATACAAAAACGGCCAAAGGGCACAAGGAACAGACACCCCCCCCCCCCCGCCAATGCTGGCGAGCAACGGAAAAGAGCAAGAGCCCTTAAGCGCAGCTCCTTGCTGACAAGAACCTTGGCTTTGGTGCAAATTTCATGTCAATGGCACGCCGTCACACTGGCAAAAAATTAAGCACTGGCTGACAGAAGGATCTGTCGAACTGTTTTGGGAGGGCGGCTTGGGGGGGGGGGGGGTGGGGAGGGATCTGATTTTGCTTCTCCTGAACTCACTGCCAAACTGCGATCACGCAGGCGGCCGCCAGCAAGAAGAGCACGCCCTTCCAGAAATGCCCCTGCAAAAAGGCCAGGGTACGGTTGACGGATTCATAACCTCTGGTTGACTACGTTCCCGTTTAGAATGGATCCCTCATATTTGGGGGCGGGACACCATATGAAAAAAACCAAGGATCGCAAGCGAATGGCAGATTGCAAGCGTCCAGACCTGCCTGAGTCACATCATCGTTCAACCTCAGTGCGGGTGTGAAAGATCCAACCAATCACCAGCCACACGGCTCCTTATGAATCTTACTCCCCCGTTAAGCATCACCTAAGCCCGGGAACCCTGAGCCAACTCTCGAGGGCGGTAAGGCGCGGACTCCCCTTGCTTGTTCAATGGGTCTGCGCGAAGCCACGTCCTTCAAGGAGCGAATGATGCCCGTAGGTTTCCCCGACATGTGGGTGCAAGGATCGGGAGGCTGGGAATTTTGACAACGGCACAGTTGCATGACCACATCCCCCCTTAATCTTGATGTCTGGAAACGTAATGTCCATTTTCTGGGGCTAAACATTTAAGGGGGTGCCAAAGTGTAAGATTGCATTTGGGACGCCGGTGGGTCCATCAACAGAGTACCTCGCACATAACCAAGTTCCAATTTCATGACCTGTGTTTGGTGCTGGTTTTGCGCAGCCCGCCGCATGGCGGCGCACCCGTTGTCTTTTGAACGCCCCCGCCCCTTGACCTTGGACAGCTGTGGCTCTCCAGGTGCCTCCCACTGCCCCACGACTCTCATCCCTTGGCTGTAGTGGGCCACATGCAGCCCCAGCCCTCTAGAATGCTGCTGTAGCTGTGGCCCTTGCAAAGTCATCTAGCCCCGTGCCTTGCCTTCGGGCTGTCCATCAGTGCCAACCGGATGCTTTCACGCATGGGAGGCATGAACATCGTTCCTTGCCAGCTGCCCAACGGAGATCAAAACGAGCCTCTCAATCAAACAGGCCCTGTCCAAGGCGGGCAGCACGAAGCGTTTGCAATTTATTTCAGGGTGATTCATCCGGGGCCAGCATGAATGTGGGGGGTTTCAGACGAGATCTAGTACACCAGCCACAGGTTTTGGTAAACACAGAAATCCGCTTTAATCCACTTGCACTGTTGGGGAATCAACTATCGCTGCTACGATTGCAGGCACCGTCTCGCTGAGGATCCAAAACCACAGGCTTCCAATATGTGTTGCTTTGTTGGAGAATATGTTTGAGAAACTAGACCACGGTTGGCCCGAAAGCAGAACATCGCAAGCGAGGTCGGCCCAACGCTGCAGGATGCGTTCTTTTTCCCTACACGAAGCATTTGTGAAGCAAGCGCGAGACAGCACCAGGCAAGGTGCTCTGCGCAAACTGGTCGGTGCAAGTTGGTCTGCGCAAGTTGCTCTACGCAAGTTGCACTGTGCAAGTTGCTCTGCGCAAGTTGCTCCGCGCAAGTTGCTCCGGCAAGTTGGTCCCTGCAAGTGGCTCCCTGCAAGTTGCTCTGTGCAAATTGCGCTCCCTGCTGCTGAAAAAATGCTGGCTGCGCAAGTTGCTCTGTGCAACTTGCTCTGCGCAAGTTGCTCTGCGCAAGTTGCTTTAAAATGCAAGTTGCATCTTGCGACGCCCGCCCGCGGACCAGGGAGGAATCGAACCCGCGACCCGCCGGTTCCGGGAGCAGGCGCGCGAACCACGAGACAACTCCCGAGGACCAGTTCGAACAACAAAAGTCGCAAAAAACCTCGAGTTTTTGCACCTCGACCACGCCGATCCCCGCAGAGGGTTCGCGCGGGAACTTTAGAAATCGCAAAAAACCATGGGTTTTTGCACCTGGACCACGCCGATCCCCGCAGAGGGTCGCGCGGGCTTTAGAAATCGCAAAAAACCATGGGTTTTTGCACCTCGACCACGCCGATCCCCGCAGAGGGTTGCGCGAGCACCGCAGAAATCGCAAAAAACCTCGAGTTTTTGCACCTCGACCACGCCGATCCCCGCAGAGGGTCGCGCGAGCATGTTAGAAATCGCAAAAAACCATGGGTTTTTGCACCTCGACCACGCCGATCCCCGCAGAGGGTCGCGCGGGAACTTTAGAAATCGCAAAAAACCATGGGTTTTTGCACCTCGACCACGCCGATCCCCGCAGAGGGTCGATTTTCGTGTAGTGTCGTCGGCACTACCCCGCCGCCCTAAGAAGAGATTTTAACTCCTCGCAAGTCAATTGCACTTGACTCCTTGCACTTGCAACTTGCACTTGACTCCTTGCTTGTTTCAAGGAGTCATTGCAAGGAGTCATTGCAAGGAGTCATTGCAAGGAGTCATTGCAAGGAGTTAGTCATTGCAAGGAGTCATTGCAAGGAGTCATTGCAAGGAGTCATTGCAAGGAGTCATTGCAAGGAGTCAGAAAGAGTCATTGCAAGGAGTCATTGCAAGGAGTCATGAGAGCCAAGTTGCAAGGAGCCAAGTGCATGGAGTCAAGTGCAAGTCGCAAGTGCACGGAGTTAAGTGCAAGTTGCAAGTGCAAGGGGCCAAGTGCAAGGAGCCAAGTGCAAGGAGCCAAGTGCATGGAGTCAAGTGCAAGTTGCAAGTGTGCATGGAGTGCAAGTGCAAGTTGCAAGTGCAAGTGCAAGCAAGTGCAAGTGCAAGTGCAAGTGCTCAAGTGCAAGTTGCAATCCTTGCCATGACTCCTTGCAATGACTCCCTTGCAATGACTCCTTGCAATGACTCCTTGCAATGACTCCTTGCAATGACTCCTTGCAATGACTCCTTGCAATGACTCCTTGCAATGACTCCTTGCAATGACTCCTTGCAATGACTGACTCCTTGCAATGACTCCTTGCAATGACTCCTTGCAATGACTCCTTGCAATGACTCCTTGCAATGACTCCTTGCAATGACTCCTTGCAATGACTCCTTGCAATGACTCCTTGCAATGACTCCTTGCAATGACTCCGTGCAATGACTTTCATGATGATGATTCCTTGCAATGACACCTTGTAATGACTCTCATGAGAACAACTCAAGTGAACCCAGCGGAAGAACCCTTCGCCATGCTTTCGGGAAAATGGAATCGGAAGGGGGCTGAGGCTTCTGGAGTCTACGCCCACACACACACGCACACACGCACACACGCACACACGCACACACGCACGCCCGCCCGCCCGCCCGCCCGCACGCACGCACGCACGCACGCACGCACGCACGCACGCACGCACGCACGCACCCACACACACACACACACACACACACACACACACACACACACACACACACACGCACGCACGCACGCACGCACGCACGCACGCACGCACGCACGCACCCACACACACACACACACACACACACATCGGTGTTGCCCTCCACCTGAATTATCCCTACACAAGCCCCCTCCTCAGCTCCCGGTAGGACGCGAAGCCCGACTCCCCCACGTAGCTCTGCCACCTCGCAGCCAGCAGCTCCTGCACCGCGCGCGGCAGCTCCTCATCGTGCTTTGTGCGGAATCCCCATGCGGAGACAAATTCCCCGTGTTTCCTGTTTCCATTCTTGCACACCCACTCTTCTCTCTGAGATAGAGGTGTGGCATGAGAGTGAGAGAAGAATAGAGAGAAGAGGATGAATGAGGATGAATTCTCCAGCCGTCCCCTCGCTCTCGCTCATCACTTCCTCGTTCACAATCTCTTTACATCTCTTTCTCCCGCCAATCCGCTCTTCTGAGGGGTAAAAGTGGTGGGGGAAGAGGTGCCATGTCTCATCCAAGCCAGGCTTTTCAGGCGGTCCCCCCCTGCGCAAAGCCAAACCCGACGTCTCAGTTCCCAAAGGCCCGACGGTTCTTGCAGGGAATTTGGGCTGCCCCCCGGATCCAAGACCGTCAGTGACTCATACCCCCTCCCAGGAACGAAAGGCGCCTGGAGGGTACCTGGAAGATTTCCTGGAGTTGTGCTTGTTGAACAGACCCACTGTCAGGCATTGGGAGGGAGAGTGATGCTTTACCCTTCCAAGCAATTACGACTCAGATGCTTCTGGTTGGTCCAACGGATCTTATTCCACGAGTCAAGGCCTGACAATGGTGTATGAGAGATTGGGTGAGCATGTCATTGAGCAAGGAAGCTAAACTTCAGGGAATGTGTCTCAGATATGGCCCCTAGTGTCTTAAAATGGGGGAACCCCCTAAAGGGGATTGTTTGCTTTGGCCCTTTAAAGCCACCCCACCCCTGCCCCCGACTTAAACCCTGAGGACACAGGTCCCTCAGTCCTTGGGTGTCTGGCGCATCACTCGCGGGATTCGAGGCACCAAGCCGTAGGCCTTCACATCCTGGGCAGAGCTCCAGATGGCTTCCCTTTGCGTTTCCAAACCCCGAAAGCCTACCCTCCAAGATGGGTCCCACTATTTCTGCACGGGTATGATGTTCGAGTCCTTGGACATTTTGGCGGACATCAGAGAAAAAGAAGGAATGGATTCATGCAACCCCGTTTATGAGGATGCTCTCCATGAATTCACAGCCTTAGCCTCAGGTTCCAAGCTTCTTAGCACAGTGGTCCCGGACAATCCCTTTGCTTGGACCTCCACAAGCGGCAGCTGCATCAGAACCCACCTACAACGTATGACGGGGAAATCCAGCGGCCCCTGAAGCAACCAGGCAACCAGTACGGCTGCTTAAACATCCAGTCTTCATTCATGTGTTTCGCGAGCACACTGTCCACTGCTTGGGAAGCCACCAGAGGAAGACACGCAAAAGGGATGGCACTAGGCCAAATCCCTGCAGGTACCCGCACAGAATTCACTTCGGCCCTGATGTTGACCGCGGATGCATCACCCTGGATGCGACACCCCCCATTGATCAATCAACCAGGGGTTATCAATCCTGGGTCAATATTCGTGAAGATCCCTGCGACCCATCGGCCTGCTTGAACACAGGAAGATGTTTCAGCACGAAGTGGTCGTCGAACTTGGAGATATGCTCCTTCGCCGGACAAGCCAATGGCCAATATCTCTCTGGTGGCTGCAGCCCACCCGGATTCCGCTTTGATTGCCCTCAAAAGGGGAGCCGAGAACCGGATTTGAGTCCATTTTTAGGTACGGCGCCGTAATTATGTCTTCACATTCGCGGGCAACATACTTGGAATTGACCCCGCCGTCGCTTCCTAGCAAGGTCTACTTTATGGCTAGTACGGTGGTGGGGCCTGCAATGGACGTGGGATAACCAGTGTGTCCCCTGGATTGTGACTTCCATGTCTCTCCCAAATGGACTACAGACCCACCAGGAGATTTTGACCGAACCTCATCTGGTGGAGCCGTCCCTATGTACTTTTGAGACTTTTGCAACACACCCATGTCTTTGAGTCACGAAGTAAACCGCCAGCAGAAAAAACGAAACTTCGACCATCGAGCGATGCCACAGGCTTCACAAGCAACAATGTTGCCTCCTGGCGGTTAGCGTTCTTCTGCCTTCACTCGAAAACCCTCCAAAATGGTCTCCCACCATTTTGGAGGCATACCACCGGCAAAGAAAATTCTCAACCGCCCGCCTGCATAAAGTCCTTGGTCGACTGCAGCCTCGCCGTTCTCAGGAGCTCATCTGTGACTTGGCGATGTGGCAGAATGAAGCGCGCGATCCTGCCGCCAGCCATTGAGTCTTCTTTCAGTCGGCTGGTCTCTGAGGTCTCCCTGAAAACAGAAGGCTATCCTCATTCAAATGGAAATGGTTAAATGAACCCTTTGGCGGGCATGCAACCATGGAGATTCAGGCCATGTAGGAGGGTACTTGCGCCGCGAGGCGAACGCGGGAAACGTGGCTGGGATCGTGCCCAAGACCCATTGTGAGTCTACCAAATCAAAATGGTAAAGCTTATACTCGCCATCCCCATCAAGCCGGGCTGTAAAAGCCTCTACTAAAATGGCCATTGGTGGTGCTGGGCACTGCCCAGGTGGTGAAGGTACAAGAAGAAAACAAATCCCATCGCGCCAAACCCAGCCGCAGCCCGAGCCCAAATACCCCAAGCCCAAACAACCCAAGCCAAATTCGGCAGTCTCTGGTAGGTCTGGCAACCAACTGCTCACGCCACGCCAAACCCAGCCAAACCTGCACCCAGCTGAAACGACCAAACTCAGCCCAACAAAGCCGAAGCGTCCTTGAAATCTCCCGTTCTGGCTGCTCCATCAAATCTTCGTATGTCACGTACAACCTGCGCTGGTACTGCGAAGCTGAAACATTCGTCTGCCTGTTGTCTGGCAACAAAAGCTCCCCCTACCACAATGTGGTTGGGAAGATGGTTGATTCAGAGATGGTTTAATATACGGCTCAGTCTCAAGTACTAGTTGCCCGTCTAGTTTCCTGAGTGAATCGGGCCAAGCAAAGCCGAAACTGGTTGCCGTCCACTCAACTGATCTTACGCTCTTCCCAACAAGTGCAACGTCGTCTAGGTGGTTTGGGGGCTGTGGGGCGCTGAGGTGCAGGCACCCGGTCGTGGCCCATGCAGCAGGAGAGCCACGACTTCATGAAGTGCCAAACCTGCGAGGTGCGAGTCTGGAAGAGGAAGCGTGCTCAACCAACTGTCTCAAAACTTCCGTTTGGATGGAACCAATGTCACGCTAAATCCGAATTTTCCGGGCGGCGAATGGGGACGGCCCGATTTTTTTTGCTCGGAGCTTTGCCCGCCCTGTGCTTCGGAGAACTCGGATTTCATAGGAATCTGTAAAAAGGAACCAGGGCCAAAACCCATCCATGGAAATCAGCACTGTGATTCAGGCAGGCCCCGCGGCCCCGGACCGGCCTCGTTGCTGGACTTGTGCGCAAACATCCCTGCGGCAAAGTCCTCCAACGTGATCGCCGCTTTGGGGACGCGGGCGTACTCCGTCCAGCTGCTGTTGCAGTACCGCTGGTACCGGGTCCACAACACGTCCTCGGGGTCCCGGAACAGCACCACAAACTTGGCACCCTCCGGCAGCTTCTCATACCTCAGACGTTTGACTTGAGTGTGGGCCGCCACCAATGGGAGGGGAACTCCTGGCAAAAAGATCAGAGCCAACTTGGCCCAAAAAAAGGGCCGTGGAAATCTCCAATCAAGACTATCACGCAGAGAGTCTCAAAAAAAGGAGCATGATGGGTCACTTGGCCCAGGACTGTTGAAAAGCGGATGCTAGCTAAAAAGTTTGCTTGACCGGGCGTTGGTATCTATCCGTCCTTTTAGCTGGCTGCCAAGAATTCAGATCACTATACAAAAGATCTGTACAAGCAGAGCGATCTTCTGCTCTTCCTGGAGAATGTCATGTAGACTACCCCACAAAAGGCACACTGCGTAGAAACCGGCACTATCTATTTCTTTACAAATGCTGTGCAGAGATAATCACGCCTACGCACCCGCGTGTGAAGGCTTCCAACGGACCTTCGTGGCCGCCCTTGCCTCATTCTGCAAGGATGCTCTGTCAAACTTTCCGACGCTGTTGAGAGGCAACTCCTTCAGAAACCAGTAGTATACCGGACGCTGATAGGCTGCCAAGTGCTTGGACATGTGCTTTTCAAGCATTGCCGGAGTTGGAGGATCCTGCGAATTTGCCACAATCCAAGCGGCAGGGACCTGACCATCCTTTTCGTCTGGTACTCCAACTACCACTGACGAATGCACTTCGGGGTGCATAGAAAGCACTCTCTCAACTGCAGCAGGTGCAATGTTAGAGCCCCTGCGTATGATGATCAGTTTGCGGCGACCGACAAACCACAGGTAGCCATCATCGTCTTGTCTCGCAATGTCTCCCGTCCGCAACCAACCATCCTGGAAGAGTTCAGTTGTTGTATGAGGGTCATCCCAATAGCCAAGTGTTGCTGACGGCGTCCTCAGCAACACCTCCCCAGGCAAACCTGAAGGAACATCGTTGCCATCATCATCCACCAGCCGCACCTCTGTGCCAGCAGTTGGAAGTCCAATTGATCCCGGCTTTTCTTTCCCGATGGGTTGCATGGAGAAGTAGCATCCAACCTCAGTGATGCCGCAGCCCTCTATGACTGGTCTGCCAAACAACTGGAGAAACCTATCTTGGAGCTCCAATGGCACACAGTCTCCAGAGCCAACGACCCGCTGCAAGCTTGTCAGGCTCTCCTGGCTCCTCTCCAAATCCTGGACGAAATCCAGCAAAGAGCTCACAAGCATGGCATAGGTTGTCACCTGAAATCGCTTGATCAGCTCTACCGCCCTTGCAGGTGGTGGTATCATGGCAAGCACCACCTCTCCTCCAACCATCAAAGCTGGGAGGAGCTGGGTTTGAAGTCCGCCAGCATGGGTGATAGGCTTGCCAACGAGCACCACATCCTCACTTCCTAGTCCGAACGCCCCGGCCGAAGTACTGATGGCCGCCCAGCAGCCTCCGAGAGAATGCAGCACACCTTTCGGACGACCAGTGCTGCCCGAAGTAAAGAGGATCAAGGCGGGATGGCTTGGTGGCAGCGGTCGGAGACTCGTCTCCCCTTCCCTTTGCTCAAAATCACTCCAGCTTGTGTGCCGATGGACCTTCGGGCCTACAGTCACCACCTCGAGCGTGTCAAGAGATAAATCGGATATGACAGGCAAAGTGTCGACTTGGAGGAAAAGAATTTTGGCCTTCACCTTATCAACCATGTATGACACCTCCTTTGGCGAGTAGCGAACATTAATAGGTACCGATACCGCCCCTATGCAATAACAAGCACAGGTCAAAGCGACAGCCTCGAGGCAGTTGGGCAACAGCCAAGCAACTCGATCTGTCGTCTCAATCCCTGAGCCCACCAAAGCAGACGCCAAACGTCTCACCCACTGATGTAGCTTGAAGTAGCTCACCTCAACACCTTCCATTCGAATGGCTATCTTCCGGGGAGATGTGGCACAGACTTGCTCTAGCAGCATCTGGAGCGGCGCAGGGGTAACATTTGCTTCTGAAGCGTCCATGTCCGCAAGTTGAGCACTGAGGAAATTCAAATCACTAAGTCACGGCCACCCTTGAGCCAATAGATCACACACGTGAACGTCTCAGAACTGATTCGCCCAATCAACTGTCCTGTAGTGCAAGATGGAAGCTGTTTATTTGAAACCGTGTAGGGTCCCCTGACTTTCAGCACCTGCTTACTGTGATGTTGCCCACCTCAAGAGAAAGATTGGCCCTCCCCCATTTCTGGCCCACTTTGATGGGAAACATCCAGCCGTCCAAATCTTTGAAGGGCCTCCCGCTTCAAAGACACACGCCCCTTGTTGGAAAATCTCCGTGTTTCCAGGCCTCTCCCAAATGAGACGAATCCAAATTCCTGCCCCGAAACGCGTCTGCAACGCGAGGGCCCGTGGGCCGAAACCCGGCGCCTCTGGTGGGTCTTGTAGAGCCGCGGCGGGAAGGCCTGGGCCTCGTCCAGGTCCTGGCCGCAGAGCAGTGCCGCGTGGAACCAGGGCACCACCTCGTTCAGGTCCTGGAAATGAGGCAAAGGCGGCGAGGCCTTGGGTCGCCTTGGGTTCCTTTAAAGGGAAACGGCGCCAGAAAGTCTGGCTTTTACCAGCAACAACAAACACAAATTAGGAAAAAGCCGTTCCAACTCACAGGCAAGTCGACACAAGCCTGGGCCCAACCAGCACCGTGTCCAAAATGAAAGGAGGGCGCATTCCTCTCGAATTGGTGTTTCCACAGGTCTGTCAGAACCGCCTTCCTAGTGCAGTGCAGGTTTATTCGGGTGACCCAACCCTACGCGTGTTGGGCGACGTTTACACTTTGCGTCGTGTTTGCTCGGCATCTTGGAGAACCGAAACCAACCTCTAACATCCCTTTGGCGTCTTTGTGTCTTTTTACAAACCTGAAAACCTCCCTGGTTAGCCATGTCCGCCCAAAGCCACGCCACCCTCCAAAGCCACCACCACCCAGCGCGTTTCCCAGGCCTCCCACCCGACCGGGCGCCTCGAAGCTCATGGAGCCGTTGGACCGCAGCTGGTGCCCGATCTGCGTGAGCAGCGTGAGGCCGCTGCCCATGACGCCCACCAGGAACACGTCCGAGCCCAAGGCTTCGAAGGGCACCCTGGAGTGGATTTTTGGCCGACTTGGCTAAGGACTGGAAACCCATCCTATAGAAATGGGATTGAGAAAATGAGAAACCCCCGCTCGTCACCCTTTTCTGGTTGGTTTCAAGGGAAAACGAAAGCAAACCCACCATATGGGGGGATCTTTTGACACATACCTAGGTGGGTCGACGTCACGGCCCCCTTAGTTTCCCCTCAAAACGTCACAATGCCAAGCAAAACTGACCTTTGCCTCGAACCCCCCAAAAAAGGGACAATAACCCACTGTTTGCAATGTGCTGACGTATGAGTTCGCGGACAAAATGTTCCCACAATGGGCATGAGAAATTAGCTAGTCCTCAGCACTTCGGCACTTGTCACATTGTGGCTTGTGAGAGTAGTTTGCCCACGTCCAAAAATCAGCCAGAGAAAGAGAGAGAAAGAGAGAAAGTGAGAGACAGGGAGAGAGAGTGAGAGAGAGAGAGACAAACTCATAGTAAAATTGAAAGTTGCTCGCACTTGGCAGCCTGGGAAGCAAGGACTCGCCCACCGGACAAACAGGCACGAACATAAGCTCATGATGAGCATTCTGCGAGGGAAATCAGGAACAAATCCAGCTCTGACACTGGGAGAGATGTGAGTGAATAGGCACACCATGGTGAGAATAAATGACACAATTTCCTTTATGTGGGTAAGTAGAGGATGCCTAAACCAAAACATCTACTACTTTCGCCCAACTGTAGTCAATCAAATACGTTCATTTCACGCGGACCAATCATGTAAGCACATCTGCACCATTTGCCTTGGCATCCCCATTCAGCCCTTGAAACTGAGTGCTTCACGCAAGTCGAAGTGAACTTGAACCTTCCAACTGCTGTCCTTGCTTGTCTCACACCTCCCTGGGTCCAGGATCTTGTTGAACCTGTTTGAACCCTTTTGTCTTCCTTTCAAACAAGTCCTGCAACATGGTTGTAGACTTGGCTCAGCCCCCCCAGCAAAAAAATCCTGCGTGAGGCACACGGGGCTGAACTTGTGAAAGGCCGCGTCATTGAACTGCCGCAGCTTGCCCAGGTTCTCATCCAGGGTGTAAAGCAGGTGCACGGGCGTCTCCTCAGGTTCAAAAGGATCCGCAACCAGAGTGCCAATTTGGATTTGCCTCAAAACACCGGAACCCAAAAAATGCAGTCCTTTTTGCTTCCTCGAAAACACCCCAACAAGGATACCTTCAAAAATAACAACCCCCTTCGGCTTCTCCGTTTCAACACTTTCCGCCGCACTCCGAATTCACGGCCTACCTTCGAATGCTCCGAGTTGCGGTCAGGCTCTGCAACGGGTTGCTCTGCAGCAGTGTCTCGCTGCGACCCCGTCGTCCAGCCTCGGGAAACACACCAGTCCATGCGCCATTCGGCTCACAGCACTAGATTCCTTTTAAGGAATTCCACACATCCTCACCCACCCACCACCACCCCAGAAAACAACAAAAAGACAAGAAGAACAAGCACAACACTTCAAACCATTCCCTCCCAGATTTGCGCCGCCACTTTTCTCCCCTGTTGTTTCCGAGTTGTTCCGACTTCGCCAAGCTTTACCGGCGTTGCCGCGATATTGCGCCCTTTTGTCTGAGCTTTTCCCGCTTCTCTGAGTTCTCCGAATGTGTCCCGCTTAGGCTTCGATCTTGTCCGGCCAGTTTTTCAGCACTGCTTTCTTCTTCAACTGGGCGGGGGAAGACTTGGTCCAGGAGAGTCGGACCCGGCCGGTTGGACCCTAATAGCACTACAAGCAGAACATATAGCATCCCGGCAAACGTCACACACACACACACACCCACACCCACACCCACACCTACACCCACACCCACATGCGCGCGAGCAACTCCACGTTCACAGACACCGACACCCAGATCCCGGCCTGCGCTTAGACCAGCCTGCGCGCATCTGACCCCATACATACACTCAGGCCCGAACCTGCGCATCTAGCATGCCCCCCAACCGTGGGCAGACGCTTCTCTCCATCTGACATGCTCTGGCGTGGCCCCAAACACTCAGACCCGGATCCCCGTGCATCTGGCCCCAAACATATCCGGCCGGCTCTGGTACGGCTGGAGCTGCTGGCCTTCAGGACTTCTGAACATCTCCCCTGACGCGGGGGAGAAAGACTGTCCGCGGCTCGTTGGATCGAGGCCCGCACCATCAAGTACAAGACCCCCGTCAAGAAGAGCGCCAAAAAGGCGCAGAGGATGAGCCGGAAATGCCCATCCGCCGCCTAGCGAGCTCGCGCAAGCTCTTGCGGACTGTCGGTTTCCAAATTTCAAAAGCCGAAAAACGCGGTTGAACTGGGATCCTTTGGGGCAGAAGGCCCAGAGTTTTTACACATGCCTCACTCCTTGCCGCTGCTCCTCCGAGTTACGGTTCCGAGACCCTGTCTGGGGGGTTGGGGGCCCTCATGTGTTTCCTAAAAGGCCAAAATCCTTGGGGCATCTGCCAACCTAAACAGATCTGCCTCTCCTTCGGATAAACGCAACTCGCACCTGCTGTGGGCCAACGAATCATTTGCCACTGGGCGGTTTCCGCGCCGTGCTTGGCTGAGACAGCTTGGCTCTCTTGAGCCAAACTCGAGGCTGAGCATTGGAGGTGATACGAGCGGGAGCCCGCTCGCATCATTTTTCCTTTGGATCTTAGTGAAACACCTCACAAGCGGTTGGTGGACATGGATCTCCACCTGAATGAGGTGATATGATTTGTAAGTTCAGAGTTCAGACGGCCTTTTTCAAGATGGCCGCCCGCTCTGAACGAGATCTTTAAGATGCAACCAAAGTTTGCCGGGGCTACTAGAGGAGGCTACAGAAATATTTGCAGTGCCGGCTGTCAAGCACCTCTTGCCTGGCAATTTCAGGTTCCACGGGCCAAGCGCTGCAGGCGGCTTGTCGCTGTCTGTCCCCGCCGACTCGGAGTATTCCCGGAGCTGGTGCCTGATGTGTTCCCAGTCTGCTTTTCGCAGCAAACCGCGCAGGCAAGGCATCTGACCACCGAGATCTTGGACCCGCCGGAAGCGCAGGTGCGCCTGGAGAATGTCCACAACCTCCACTGAGCGGTCCAGTAACAAGCTCGCCTCTTGAAGTTCCGGCACCGTCGGCCAATTTGCGGACGCTTGAGACGCATCGGATCGTTGCGATCTGGACGAAGGTCCTCGCTTCGAAAAGTCCGGCAACTCCATGGGAATTCTGGCAGGAACTTGCGTCTCTGAGTCTTCCCTCAAGGCGATGAGATGATACATGTCACGGGCTCCCCAGTATTGAGGAACCTGGACGTGAAACATATCCACCCGCACCCTGACATCATTGGCGCCGCGCAAAGAAGCGCGCAGGCAGGGAGGGATGCTTGACTCGTTGGCTTCGTTGCCAGGTGTGATAAGCTTTGCAAAGCGCTGCTTCTCGTCTTCGTTCAGGAACTCATCAAAGAATTTTCCGTGCAATGAGGTGTTGGTCATCAGCATGTGCTTGAGGCACTGTGGCTCGCCTTGAATGCCCATCTGGCTGTCCAGCAAGACTTCGCCATCGCACACGCCCCGCAACAGCCTGCGGAAACCCGACAACATCGACTCCGCCTCCGCGGACGCGAATTGAGCCTCGATCTGCGAGTTCACCCCACTCTCGAGCAAAACGGACATGACAAGCATGCTGCTCAGGAGGCAGGCCTCTCTGAACACGAAGAAGGGATTGCACCGCTGCGAGACGGCCAGTGCGGAGGCCACGATTTGCGGAGGCGCGATGAGCCGAGTGTTCACCGCCGGCAAGGCGACTGCATAGCGGCACGCCACGACGAAACCGTCCAGACCCAGCGCATCTCCGGTGGTCCGAGCTGCGAGCCCCGCTGGGATGATGGTCAAGACATTCATCAGCAGAAACTGCGCAGAGATCTCGGAAACAGATGTGAGGAATCCCTTGCTCACCATCGACCTAAAAGGATAATCCAACACCAGCGCGATGAAAATTGCCACCCACTCGATGCGGAAGTCTGTGAAGATCAAGTATCCAAACACGATCATACTTACAGCTTCTGAATGAACAGCATAGCCCCCAGACAGCTTCACAAGAAGTTGACATCGCATATTGTCAAAGGCTTCTTGCACCTGGGTTTGCTGCTTTGACGCATGCACTCGACCTCCCAGTAGATGGCCTACACCATGAAGCCTATGAAGCATCAGGTGAAGGCCCAGGAAACCAACACCCAAGGCAACTGGAATCGCCTCCATCAGAATAACCGCTGGCTTGCTTGTTTCGTACGCAAAAAACCATATGCTTGAGCCAGTCAAACCGCTCCCCTTTGGTCGTCCACTTCAGAGCCATTGTGGAAATTCACCCATTCAGGTTATCCCGCGAAATTCCCGTAGCTACTTGATCACTTTGCAGGGGATTGCTTTGCTATCACAGAAACTGGCAACCGGGTCTCCTCAATGGCACCGTCATGCTGAGTCATGCTGGTTAAAGGACCAACGAAAACAAATGAGAACCTCTCAGACTTTCATAAATCAAATCTTCACTTTGGGAAACCACCCCATGTTCCACAACCGTGCAACGCACAGATCACTGGCGCCTCCTCCGGCTCATGCCGCGATTGCCGCTCCTTCGCACTCCAGCGTAAAAATCCTCCACTTGTTTTCTCGAGAGCATAATCCCTAAAATACTTGAACGTCAAAGACCATGTTGAGCAAAAGCCAAGCAACTGCCAATTTCTATGCCGAACCTGGTAATTAGGCCGTTGGGCAATTGAGCTCAATTGACCAGCCGGAAGCTGCATGGCCCGTGAGATCACCTTGGACTCTCTTTGACACTGCCTGCAAAGAAACATGGGTAACGTGGGCATCAATGAATCCTACAACGTTTCATCCTGCGAGTCCTAAACAAGTCATGCGCAATTCACGGACACCCCAAAAGTCTGAGCTACCACCTAGCCCGAGCCTTCGGTGGCCTGAACCATGAAAACCTGCTTAGGGCCCTCTGACTTTGTTTACAAAGCCAGGCCTCAGGCTCCCCGCAGCCCACCGCTTGCGGGGCGACATCCATGTTGCCGCGTTGCCCGTACTTGAGCCGAAGCTGCCGTCTGACCCTCCGCGAGGCCGCGAGAAGGGATACCACTGACACCACCCTTGCCCCGGGAACCGCCCAGCCTGCAAGAGCGAGGCGGCCTGCGGACACGGAGGTCCGGGCCCGGATCTTAAAGGCTGCCGGTCAAAACATCACACCAAATATCAGGTGCTTTAGAGATCCCTTCGAAAGCAGCTGGCTTTTTGGGATGTATGCTTTGAGAAACCCTGTTTATGTGGCCATTTCTGAAACAGGTTTGGCATACTTCCAGCAAAAAAAGCGCCACATTTAGGAAGCCTATCCTCCTTACGACAGGCCCTACAAATCCCCAAAAGGAGATTCCGATCCTGAACTGCATGTGCGTATGTCTGTTCTGGGTCCCTTCCATTCATCCCCGGAAGAAAAGGGGTGTAAAGTCTAACCTGGGCAGAAAGTGGTACTGCAGACGTACTTGGTTCAGCAAAATACACCAGAGCCCTCAACCTAGATCTTTACCGCCATCCTTGGCAAAGCCCAAAGGGCCGTTGCACAGCAACAAGCGGAACACCTCCAAATTGAGACAATGCGGGGATTGGCCCCCGGCCTCCGCCATGAGCCCGCCGCCGTCCGCGAGCACCTTCTTCGCCTCGCTGAGCGCAACCTGCACCGAAGGGCGCCGTGGCTTGAGCGACGGGTTGGGGCGGCTTGGAGCGGTGTGGCCCGAAAGCCTCTACCACAGGGGGGGTCAAACCGCGCGAACGGCCGAAAACATGTTTGACCCCAAGAAATCCGAGCTTTAGGATCTGGATCTCCCTTTGGGAATTGGGGTTGCCTCCAGGAAGCACATTTTCTTGGAGCGGGAAACCCGAGTGCCAACCAACGGCAAAGAAGCCTCAAGTCCCCAAGTTTGAAAACTCTCCAGCTCCTGCCTGCAAAGCACCAACCTCGCCGCGCCGAAGCGCAAACCTCGGGCTATCGGGGTCTCTTGGAGTCTCGTCAGATCTCCTCTCTTCAGGCCTCTCTTCAGGGATCTTGGGTTCTCAGGTTGCCAATAAATCGTGGGTAACCCTATCACTGATTGCGTGTGGAGGTCGGGCAAGTGAGCTCGTCTCATCCCACATGAGCTCCTTGTGATTTGCCCAGCAAAATAATTACTCGCCAACCTGGGGCTGGGACTTGGATAGACAGTCGCGAAACCCTATGAACATGATTTGTGCAAAGGGTTGACTGTCAAATGCTAAAAACATAGACATCCATCAACCCTTGCTGTTCAAACGGAAACCATCTGACATCACCCTTTCTTTCTTGAACCGCGGCTTCGCTTGTCTCCAAAAGGGCAGCCTCAAAATGGGTGGTTGCCCCATTCATTAAGAAACAAAAAACGGCCCCCTGAGCCTCAAAACAAGGAACAACACCTGGACTCCTTGGCTCGCGGCTGCAGCGCCATGCGGGAGTCTTCCCTCTGCTGCTCCATCCGCTCCCACTCCTGGCTGGAAATGAGGAAAACCGGTGCTTGAAAGGTCGCAGAAGGGGAGGGAGAGGGAGACAGGGGGAGGAGAGAGGTTCTTCCTCATCTCACAGGATCGCCAGCAACGACGGTTGAAGATCCGAGTTGTCTCAGAAGAGTTTGAACCTGGGACTCTCAGTGAACTCAGGGTTCTTTGAGCTGAAACGGGTTTCCGTTTCCCGTCGCAGCAAAGCAAAGGAACGATGGCTTGCGTCTTCCTAGAGTTTTAGTGCATAAGACAATAAGACTGAAGAGTCTCAGGAGTCAACATCCCCTAGGTTGTGTCACTGGCGTCACAAGCACAGGGCTCCATTCTTGGGATACCCCTCAATCCCAGCATTACTAATGGTGTAATTACATGAACCACTGCTATAACCCAGAATTTCTTCAACTGAGGCATGTGAACCACCGGTCAACAGCATTGATCCCTTCTGACCAAGTCTTTCTTTTGGACCCCTGCCAAAGCGCCTGCAAAGCAGCGCGAGCCGATTCTTCAACAGCACGGCCACTGGCCCTGGGCAAGGAACGAGCCGCGCAACGCCACAACAGCCTGGAGAAGGGAGAGGACAAACACCTCCTGGAAAGAAAAAAAAGAAGGAGAAAAAAAACGACGCCGCTTGTGAGGGTCCAAAACACTCCTCCGTCCATGGCAGCTGATAAAACATCCTTCCAACCGGAGATCTATCTTCCAGGTACGGTCCCACAGGTGCCACGTTTGTGGGGGAGGAGGTGTAATGGATCTCATCGTTCCGCATCATGTGTGGCAGCTCAAACTTGCAACCGCATGGTAGATAGAGACTCCAGCGTCCGATGCTACCTGACTGCATGCACACAAAAGTCGAAATGGAAAACCTGGAAAATGGTTGGTGGGCAATCTCCATGTACCGAGCCAGGTTGAGAGGCCTTGCACCGGCTGAGATGCCAACAGCTGCAGAGCCCCCTCTGACTGCGCCTGGTCAGAGCAACGCTTCGCACCCAGCTAACTCAAAGGTCGCAAAAACGGATGTCTCTCTTTTTTGGAGGTGCCAATTTCTGGGATAAAGGGAACCGAAGGAACCACGCTTGAGAAGTTGCCATTTTGAGACAGATCCATGCGCCTGGGATTGAGGTCCTTACGAATTGTCATCCGAATCCTCGCCACCCCAGTATTGGCCTCCTCCAAAGCCTTCTGTACAGCTGGTCCGAACTTCTCATCCTGCTCGGTTCCAGGGCCAATGCTGTCTTGCAACAGGTTGGAACTGATTGAACCTAGACTGTCTAGACTCCAGGGCAATCCGGAAGAACTTGACGCAGGATTCCAGAAAGCAGACGCACACTGAACCGCACGGTAAGAGTCGTCCTTCGAAGCCTCCAGCACAGCCTCGAGAGCGCACAGAGCGTCGTTTCGCCTCTGCAGCCTCCTGCGGACTCGACGATTCGATGTGCGAAAGGTGAAAGGCCGCGGATCCGTCTCAAATAGGGAACCCTGTTTCTGCGTCCTTAAAGTGAACAGTTTGGGGGTCTCTCAGAATGTATTTTGGGAGCGGAGTGCCTTGAAACCACAATGTCAGAGGTTTTGAGGATGCACTTTACTGGATCCTGTTCTTGGACGGCTGTAGAAAACAACAACAACCGATGAGTCCGCAAATTTCAACAAACCGTGTCAATGAAGCCTTAATCCTCTAAACCGTGCATTCCCCTCTGTACATGGATGGCGCGAGAAGGTTGCGTAAAGCTTCCTGGTTTGCCAAGGGTCCATTTCAAGGGTCTGTCAAGCGTCTGGGCGCAATGAAACTTGGTCTCCTGCATTAAAACTCACCCTGGTCTCGGGAGCGTTCGCCGGTGTGTAGGGCTGGAGCATACTGGAGGCAGGTATAATCAAAGCCTGGTCTACAGCCGAGAATCCCTGACTGAAGGGGCACTCGCAAAAAAAACGCCCTTTAAGAGGGTGTTGATTGCTCTTGGTGCCCAAAAGTTCCCCTCCTCTGCAGCACCAGGTTCAGCTGCCGCTCAGCTTCACGTAGCTCTTCCTCGTGCAGGAAACCAAAGCGCAAAGACGCCCAGACGCAAACCCAACGTTTTGATCATTATTTTGACCGCTGCAAGGTTGAAGTCAGAAACCGGGGTTTGTTCCCTATAATCTACCGCTTGTGGGGCCGAGCTTGAAGGGAAGCTTACGGGGGGCGTGAGGGGGGTTCAGGCTTCAAGGGAAGCTTACGGGGGTCCAGGGGGAGGCTGAGGCAGAGACGGATGGATGCTGAGGCTCCAAGAAGGCTTCAAGCTTCAAGGGGCGCTTACAGGGGGCTTAAGGCGACTTTGAGGTTTCAAGACAATGTATTGCTCTGTGGCTTGGTGCCCAATGGGTCACGCCGAGCACCCGGCAGCGGGAAGCCCCACCTCCAAGCCGATTCGACGACGCCCAGGCGGCCAGCTGTGAAGGGTCCAAGGAAAGTGTGTTGGGGGCCAAAGGGATTGCAATTTGTTGAGGGTACACTCCTGGAAGTTGTGGAGCCTGCCAAACATCCAGCTTTTGTAGGGGCAAACAAATATGGGTTGTGGTCACGGCTCCCTTCGCGCCTCAAGCTTCACCGACCTAGTCTCATGACAATGGGCATGTCAGAATCCTCTGCCCCAGCTGCACCAAACGGGCTGTAAGATCAAAACTGCGAGGAGACCCATGACCTACGAGCGCACCCTCGGAGAATTCTGCTGCAAGGCGGCAGCTTGTTGAAACGGGGCCTCTTTGTTTTTCTCACTGCTCTGGGATGACCCCAGGGAGGCCCAGGCTCCAGAGAGGCTCAGGGGTCTGTCTTCAATTCAGCTTTAAACGGATCTCCAAAACCAGCCAGCTGAGGTCAAACTACTTTTAAGAAGCCAAAGAACCCAACTGCTCCAAAGGAAGCTGGCAAAATACCAGGAGGGGACATCGACCTCTGCCATTTTGTCAAGCCGAAGGAGCCAGCCTCACGGGCCCGGTCCGCAGCACCAGAGAAGGCCTGGAAGCCGTGGCTCACACGGTTTCAAGCGGCCGCTGACATCTGCTTGCTATGGATATTTTGGGGGAGTTCCCGGCGACACTAAGGTTAATCAGGTCATTCAAATGGCTTCCCACTTGCGCTGAGAAAGCCAGCTCTGCTAACAGTAGGACTAATAACATGCTGGACCCCTTTAAAAGGTGGCACACACGCCTGCGAGTCGGAGCGTTCCAAAGCATCCGCCTCAGAGCAGAGTTCGTGAAAACATGGCTCTTGAACTCGATTAAGTGGTGTCCTAGTGGTCTCCTTTTTGAACACGACCTGATAAGAGGTATTAACTCAAAAAGCAAGACAGAGCCCACGAACCCGAATGCACATCACTTTGCGCAAACCCAAGAAAATAGTTCGAGAGAACATTTTTCGGTATAAACCAATGGGGCTCGCAATCAAGCCAACTGCGCAAACTATGTTTTTCAGCTGGTAAAACTGTACTTTGCGTGCTCCACTTGTTGCTGCAAAGTTACGATTTTCAATCTGGAGCTGGACACCTGCGCTTCGCTCGCTAGATGTGTACTACAAAGTTGCGATTTTGCCAGAGCTGGAAAACTGTGCACTACACTTGCGCTACACAGCTGCGATTGTCCAGCTAGAGCTGAAAACCTGCACTTTGCGTACTAGACTTCTACTACAAAGTTGCGATTTTTGAGCTAAAGCTGAAAACCTGTACTTCGCGTTTTACACTTGCACTTCAAAGTTGCGATCTTCTAGCGGGGCACAAAGTTGCGATTTTCGAGCGCACTAGACGTTTGCTACAAAGTTGCAATTTTCCATCTAGAGCTGGAAACCGGTACTTCGCCCGCCAGACTTGTACTACAAAAGTTGCGATTCTCCAGCTAGAGCTGGAAGCCTGTACTTCGCGCACTAGACTTGTACTACAAAGTTGCAACCTGTACTTGTCGTACTAGGTTTGTACTACAGAGTCGCAATTTACCAGCTGAAGCTGGAAACCTGTACTTCGCGTACTAGACTTGCAGTACAAAGTCACGATTTTCCAGCTAGAGCTAGAAACCTGCACTTCGCGCGCTAGACTTGTACAACAAACTCGCGATTTTCCAGCTGGAGCTGGAAACCGGTACTTCGCGTACTAGACTTGTCAGTTACGATTTTCCAGCTAGAGCTGGAAACCTGTACTTCGTGCGCTAGGCTTGTCCAGACAACAGCAGCCGAGAACGTACTACACACATGATTGACGCAGAACAAGGTGGAGACCCAGAAATCATCGACACAGTTGGAGACTTACATCCCGGGCAACGAAATCCACGGATAACCTGTGGAAAGGTAAGGCCGTCTTCACTTTCGCAGATAAGTCGCTCAAAGATGAAGAGTCAAGTTCATCAGATCCAACAGCAGACAGGATAATCGACAAGGAAGGTCGGTCGACCATTGAGCCAAGCAATCCTGCTGCACCAGTCGAAGAACAAGCAACACTTCCACTTGCCTTAGGCAGAAGAACAAGTTCGATTCAGATGCTACAAGGTTGTGATTTTCCAGCTAGAGCTGCACTTCGCGTAGCTGTGCTTCGCCTGAACTTCGCTCGCTAGACGTGGACTACAAAGTTGCGATTTTCCGAGCTGGAGCTGGAAACCTGTACTTCGTGCACTAGACTTGCACTTCAAAGTTGTGATTTTCCAGAAACCTGTACCTCGCGCGCTATGCTTGCGCTACAAAGTTGCGATTTTCCAGCTAGAGCTGGAAACCTGTACTTCGCGCACTAGACTTGTATTATAAAGTTGCGATATTCCAGCGCGTACTAGACTTCTGAGCAACACGTCTGAGCACAACTTTTGATTGACACTTCTGAGCGACACTTTTGAGCGACACCGGCACAACACTTCTGAACCACACTTTTTCTGATCGACAGTTCTGGGCAACACTTCCGAGCCACACTTTCTCTGATCGACTTTTCTGAGCAACTTCTGGGCAACACTGATGAACCACACTTCTGGTTGACACTTATGAGCAACACTTCTGAGCCACACTTCTCATCGACAGTTCGTCTGACCAACACTTCTGACCCACACAGCTCATCGACACTTCTGGACGACACTTCTGAGCAACACTGCTGAATTTACACTTCTGAGCGAAACTTCTGAGCAACACTTCTGAGCAACACTTCTGCTCGACACTTCTGATCGACACTTTTGAGGAACCCCTTTCATCAACACTTCTGAGCAACACTTCCGACCCACACTTCTGAGCGACATTTCTTTCAAACACTTCCGAGCAGCACTTCTGAGCGACACTTCCGACCGACACTGCCGAGCGGCACCTTTGAGCAAGACTTCTGATCGACACTTCGGAGTCAACTTCGGAGTTACACTTCTGAGACACTTCTGAGCGACACTTCTGAGCATGCTCAACACTGCTGAATTGACACTTCTGAGCGACACTGCTGAGCAACAAATCAGGCTGACACTTCTGGGCGACACTTCCGAGCAACACTTCTGATCGACACTTGAAAGTTACACTTCTGGTCAGAAGTGTCGACACTTCTGATCCACACTTCGGATCGACACTTCTCTTCTGATCGACAGTTCTGAGCATCTGGTCAAGTACTTCTGATCCACATTGCTCATCGACACTTCTGAGCGGCACTTCTGAGCAATTCTGCTGAAATCAATTTTCTGAGCGACACTTCTGAGCAACACTTCAGACTGACACTTCTGCGCGACACTTCCCAGCAACACTTCTCATCGACACTTCTGAGCAGCAGAGCAACACTGCTGATTCGACACTGCTGATCGACACCTCTGACCGACACCACAATCGACAGTTCTGAGCAACACTTCTGATCGATGCATCTAATCCACACTTCTGATCGATACTTCAGAGCGACACTGCTGCGCAACACTTCTGAGGGAGCAACACTGCTGATCAAAACTTCTGATCCACACTGCTCATCGACACTTCTGAGCAACACCTCTGACCGACACCACAATCGACAGCTCTGAGCAACACTTCTGATCGATGCATCTAATCCACACTTCTGATCGATACTTCAGAGCGACACTGCTGCGCAACACTTCTGAGGGAGCAACACTGCTGATCAAAACTTCTGATCCACACTGCTCATCGACACTTCTGAGCAACACTTCTGATCGACACTTCTGGTCAACACCTCTGATCCACACTGCTGAGCAACACTTCCGACAGACACTTCCGAGCAACACTTTTGAGCAACACTGCTGCTTCGACACTGCTGATCGACACCCCTGACCGACAACTCTGATCGACAGTTCTAGTTCTGATCAGCGCTTCTGACAACATTTCTGAGGGACACGTCTGAGCAACACTTCTGTTCGACACTTCTGATCCACACTTCTGAGCAACACTTCTGATCCACACTTCTGAGCAACACTTCTGATCGACACTTCCGAGCAACGCTTCTGTCGACACTTCCGACCGATACTTCTGAGCGATACTTCTAATCGACGCTTCTGAACGACATGGACACTTCTGATCAACACTTCTGGTCAACACTTCCGATCCACACTGCTGAGCAACACTTCCGACCGACACTTCCGAGCAACACTTTTGAACAACACACACACATGTAAGCTACGCTTTTGAGCGACACTTCTGAGCGACACCTCTGCACAACACGTCTGGGCAACACTGAGCGGCACTCCTGAGCGACACTCTGAAAGCACCTTTGAGCGACACGTCTGAGCCACACACACACACATCAGCAACACTGCTGTGCGGCAATTCTGAGCGACAACTCGAGCAACATTTCAACACACATATCTCAGCGACATGAGCGGCGCTCCTGAGCGACACTTCTGAGCGACGCCTCTGAGCAATGAGCGATACCCCTGAGCAACACTTTTTGAGCACACTTCTGATCGAAACTTCTGAGCGACACTTCCGAGCAACACTTCCGATCGAAACTTCTGACCGAGACTTCCGATCAACAGATCTGTTCGACACTTCTGAGCGACACTTCTGAGCAACACTTTTGACTGACACTTCTGAGCAACACTTTTGAGCAACACTTCTGCTTGACACTTCTGAGCAACACGTCTGATCCACACTTCTGATCTGATCGACAGTTCTAGTTCTGAGCAGCACTTCTGAGCAACGCTTCTGACAACATTTCTGAGGCACACGTCTGAGCAACACTTCTGAGCAGCACTTCTGTTCGACACTTCTGATCGACACTTCTGAGCAACGCTTCTGATCGAAACTTCTGAGCGACACTTCCGAGCAACACTTCCGATCGAAACTTCTGACCGAGACTTCCGATCAACAGATCTGTTCGACACTTCTGAGCGACACTTCTGAGCAACACTTTTGACTGACACTTCTGAGCAACACTTTTGAGCAACACTTCTGCTTGACACTTCTGAGCAACACGTCTGATCCACACTTCTGATCTGATCGACAGTTCTAGTTCTGAGCAGCACTTCTGAGCAACGCTTCTGACAACATTTCTGAGGCACACGTCTGAGCAACACTTCTGAGCAGCACTTCTGTTCGACACTTCTGATCGACACTTCTGAGCAACACTTCTGATCGACACTTCCGAGCAACGCTTCTGTCGACACTTCCGACCGATGCTTCTGAGCGACACTTTGGATCGACACTGCTGAGCGACACTTCCAATCGACACTTCTGAGCGACACTTCTGTCTCCTCACGCGCACCGCGAGGGCGATCTCGCTGAGTCAAAGTGACGTGGCTGCCACGAAATCTACACCCAGGCGCCAAAGTACTGCGCCTGCCACGAAAATTACACACGAAATGCTGCAAAGTGACGCGCCTGCCACGAAATTCAACCAAAACGCTCGAAAGTGTTGCGCCTGTCACGCAAAGTAACACGAACTCAAAATCATCCAAACTGCTGGACCTGCCACGAAATCCAACTTTGACACGTTTACGACACGCATCCAAAATAAAACTAGCACGGGACTGTGGCGCCAGACTGATTTCGACCAATTTTGACATGTTTCAAGCTTGCCAAACAAGCCGATTGTACGACAGGGCCAACGAAAATTTTCGCCGGCACAAACACTATCACGCGCCTGCCAAGCAGGACACCTCAAAACGGCCACCCCTGGATCGCAAATCCCACTGGTACGGCAACGAGAACGCGCAACCTTCCAAAACACTGCGCCTGCGCAGCGAAGCGACACGTCGAGCTTGAGAAGCTACGATTCGCGCACAAGGCCAACGAAAACAGCACATCACAAGTCATCAAACTCACGCGTTCTGCGCTTCCCCACTGGGAGAGCCATAGCGCAATCATACGGTTGCGAACGGTTGCGAACGGTTGCGAACGGTTGCGAACGGTTGCGAACGGTTGCGGACGGTTGCACAACATCCGGCAAACAAGGCTTCACCCCCAGACCCCCAAGATGAAACGAGAACCCTATGCTACGCATTCGGGAAAAAGGAAGCACGGCAATATTAGGGTATGAACTGGACCCTTTAGTGGACATCACAAAGGACAAGGCAACCGCAAACTATTCCAAACGGTGTTCCAACCTGCAAGTAGTTCTCATGTGCTCTCATGAATTGGGGGACGCACACAATCTTTTGGCTGGGCGTGAACAGTTTACCGACTATTTGCCAGCACCTCGGATCATCGCCCAACTTTCTTGAGCTAAAAAATGTTGACCTCGACATCAAAAAGGTCTAGGCTGCCTGCAATCCGGGCTCTCACATCTGTGAGTCTTTGCTCCCGCTCCTGCAAAGGGTGGCATGACCTCTCTCAGGGTGGTTGTCAAAACGATGAGCCACGCTGGACCCCCCTGAGTGTCACTGTTCGACAACTTGAAAAGGCATTTTAGCTGGAAGCACGGCCAAACAACTGACTGCAGGAAGCAGGGGTCGACATGGTTGACATCAGTGAAGGTTAGAGTTGTGGCTTGTTCTCTTGGTTGTGGGTTCCCTGCTTCAGGGGCAGACCAAACAAAAACCCGCCCATTATGCGGTTTCCAGCTTTTGTGTTCCCTTTCTAGGTGACGTAAGCATCAATTGGTTTGAGGGGGATCCGTCATTTTTGATGAGTCACCCAAGGAGGGACGCACGAGATCAGGTCATTTCTAACACCCAAACAAACTGTCCTGCTACCATGGACCCATGTTTAGGTCATTTTGCCAAGAGGCCTAATTTGCCAAAAGACCTCCTCTACCACTCCTCCATCACCTCCACCGCCAAGCACCCGCCCACCCATGTCATAGACGCTTGGAATGTATTTCACAGCCAGCCCCCAAAAAGAACAAACACTCTTTGTGATGCCAACAACAATCACACGTATCCCTTCAGTCTCCGCGTGCCATACCCGTGCCATTTCCCACCCTCCCACCCACCCACCAGCCCCAGCCCCCACCCACACAGCCCCCACTCCCCCACCCTCCACCCACCCAGCCCTTTCCTCCGCGAGCTGCTGCTCGATGAGGCGCTGCGCCTCCGCCTCCGCCAAGCGCTGCTGCTCCGCCTGCTGCGCCTTCGCCTAGAGCGAGCTGTGGCAGGTGTTCAGGAGATGTGGGCAGCTTTTAAAGGGGAAACACGGGGAAAACCCGCCATTCTGTGTTTTGTTCTTTGTTTGGCGAGCCGGTCCCACTAGTCTGATACATGCCTTTTGTTTCCTGATGGGTTGATTGTGTTGAATGCTGAATGCCTGGTTTGTTTCCGCTTCTGGAGTTGTTTCATTTTGTCTGGTAACTGCTTGATTGTAGCTGGTGTGTTTGGCTTTATCTTGTTTGGTGTGGTTTGTTTCTTTGCTGTATGTGGTTGTGTGTGTGTGTTTGTGTTTGTGGCTTGTGTGTATGTTTGTGTGTTTGTGTGTTTGTGTTTGTGTGTTTGTGTGTTTGTGTGTTTGTGTGTTTGTGTGTTTGTGTGTTTGTGTGTTTGTGTGTTTGTGTGTTTGTGTGTTTGTGTGTTTGTGTGTTTGTGTGTTTGTGTGTTTGTGTGTTTGTGTGTTTGTGTGCTTGTGTAGGTGCTTGTGTGATTGTGTTTGTGTTGTGCTTGTGTTGTGCTTGTGTTGCGCTTGTGTTTGTGTGTGTCGGTGATGTCTGCCTGTGGTTGATTGTTATTGGTTGTGTTTGCTTGTTTTTGTCTGTTGCTTTTGTTTGTTACTTGTGGTTGCTCTTGTCTGTTGTTTTTGTTTGTGCTTTTCTTTGTCTGTCTGCTTCTTTGTCTGTCTGCCTGTCTGCCTGCCTGTCTGCCTGTCTGCCTGCCTGTCTGCTTGCCTGTCTGGCTGTCTGCCTGCCTGTCTGCCTACCTGTCTGCCTGTCTGCCTGCCTGTCTGTCTGTCTGCTTGTTTATGTGTATGTGTGTGGTTGGCATTTGTTTCGTCCTTTTGATTGGATTTTAAGGAAATGGATAGAATCCTTCAAAGAGAAACCAGAGGCAACCTGTTTTGAAGGGGTCCCGTCAGGAAACACCCCAACCTAACTGGTACAAGCGCAGAAGGATCAAAAGCTTCGGATCACTCGCCTTGCCGCGGATTCCTTTTGCAAGGATCCAACGGCCAAGACAAACAGCCACACTGAGGCCGGTGGGGCTGTCGGGAAAAAAAACAATGGTTGTGAAATAGGGTTCCCAGCATTTAGTCTTTCAACATCACCCCGCCGGAAGCTCCCTTCAAATTGCCCCTGGCCATCAAGATTGTCCCGAAATTGTGGTTTAAACAGGTTTCCCACCCAAAAAGTAACTCTGAGGACCCTCAAAAAGCAACCACAAGGTTGTGTGCTTTTCTCAGAGCATCCTTGTTAGGTTGGCTAAACCAAAGGGAAATATGAAAGTTTTGTTCATGAGGTGCCCCTATTCTCCCTATGAGGGATTGAGGTAAAGCTCAAAATGCAACCACGCTACTGCACTCAAAACACACTGGCCACGACTTCACGGCTTCCCCCACCTCCTCTTCCGCCTGCAGGCGCTCCTTCTGCTGCTTCTTGCGGCTGCCTGACGTCAGGCTCCCCGTGACTGTCCGGCACCGTCTCCAGTCTCCAGTCTCCAGTCTCAGTGTGTTGTCATGCTTTGTCGGTTTTGCTTTTTTGTTACTCCGTTCGGCGGATGTTGTCTCTTTGCCCTTGTTTGGCTCTTTGGCCAAACGGTCTTGTTGTGACTCTCAGCGAAAGGAACCCTATCTTGACATCCGGGTCCCTCAGAACCCTCAGTGGCTTCAGCATTGCGGAGTAGCACTGGGAATGTTTCAGGTTCATGCCACTAGCACAAAAAGGCATGACCTCCATGCAGCTTCCTGCTGCAAATTAGGCATCTGTGCATGCAGACATGGGTCAACTGGTCAACTTGTCTTGCTTTCCCTTTGGGTTCCCTTCGAAACACACCCAAGAGAGTACTCCAACAAACACAATGGCAAGATGACAGTTGTCGCTGGCACAGCTTCATGTCCTGCTTCCGCACAAAATCCGCCGACCCCATGCCTGGTCCAGAATGGACCATGCTTTCGGCATGGGGGCGGTGTGTTCTGTGTTGCTTTTGTTGATATGCTTTCTATAAGTTTAATGTGAATATGATTATGTAGATATATATATATATATATATATATATGTATATAACCTATATGTCCCTTGGGGCGGCCCTTGGGGCTGGTTTCTACGTCGGCTGGATTTCTGGATTTCTGGATTTCTGGATGTCTGGATCTCTGGATTTCTGGATCCCAAACCCCTCCCCTCCCCCCCTCCCCCTCCCCCCCTCCTCCCACCCCCCTCCTCCCCCCCCCCCCAATTCCCCCTCCCCCTCCCCCCTCCCCCTCCCCCCTCCCACCCCCCCCTCCCCCCCCCCCCCCCCTCCCCCCCCGTCCCCCCCCCTCCCCGGCTTCTTCCCGTAGTCTTCCGTAGTCTTCCGTAGTCTTCCGGCTTCTCCCAGTAATCTTCCGTAATCTTTCGGCTTCTTCCCGTGGTCTTCCGTAGTCTTCCGGCTTCTTCCCGTAGTCTTCCGTGGTCTTCCGCCTTCTTCCCGTAATCTTCCGTAATCTTTCGGCTTCTTCCAGTAGTCTTTCGTAGTCTTCCGGCTTCTTCCCGTAGTCTTCCGTAGTCTTCCGTAGTCTTCCGTAGTCTTCCGTAGTCTTCCGTAGTCTTCCGGCTTCTTCCCGTAGTCTTCCGAAATCTTTCAAGCTTCTTCCCGTAAATTTCCGCAATCTTTCGGCTTCTTCCCGTAGTCTTCCGTAATCTTCCGGCTTCTTCTCCTAGTCTTCCGATACTGTTTCGGGACCAAACAACGCGCGTGTCCTGTGCTTTCGGGCTTCTTCCCTAGGCTTCGGGTAGTCTTCCCCCACCCCTCCGCCCCCCCCTGTGTCTGTCTATGTTATACGTATCTGCATCTGTCTTCGTGTCCGCGAAGACCCCCCCTGCCCCTGCGTGTCTGTCTGTGTCTCTTTGTGTCTGTCTGGGTCTGTCTGCGTCTGTCTTCGTGTCCGCGTCTTCGTCTTTCTTCGTGTCCCCCCCCCCGCGTGTCTGTCTGTGTATTTGTGTCTGTCTGGCTCTGTCTGCGTCTGCCTGCGCATCTGCGTCTGTCTTCGTGTCCGCGAAGACCCTCCCCCCCCGCTGTGTGTCTGTCTGCGTGTCTTTGTGTCTGTCTGTGTCTGTCTACATATCGCGTGCTTTCTCTCGTCCCGGGCCGAAATTTTAAGGTGTGTGGGGGCGGCGGAACCAGGCCGCAGGCCATTAAATAACCCAAACATAGGAGCCACGGCCGAAACATCGTGTCCCCCGAGCCTTGCTTCTCCTTCGCCGTCGGCACCTCGCTCAACACAACGACCAGCTTCGGCGGTGTCAAAAAATGCTGGTTCTCAAAAATAGACTGCAATGCCCGCTTCATATTTGCTTGTTGTAGCTGCTGGAGCACTCTTGCGTTTGCCCACACAAAAACTACAAGGTTTATTAAGAAATTCACTGGTGCGGCCTGTTCTAGTCGTGGCACACATCTGGGGTACGCAGCAAGAAATATGGTCTGACTCTTTTCCTTGTTCAGTCTACTGCTGTTGCCAGGAAGTGCAACACCTTCCTTGGGATGCCACCTGCTACTGTAGCACAGAGCTTGGGTACTCTAGCGCCAAACAGCAAGTCTCTCTGTGTGTGTGTGACAGAAAATAACAACTGAGACGCAGGTCCTGCCACAACGGACGACGCTCCTCAAAGTGCAGTCTAGCGTGGAGCTAGCGCCGTTACCATCGTTGCAAGTCTCCCCGTGCTGAGGACGTGGCCCAGGTAGCCTTCTCAGTGGGCCTTTGCTTCAAATACACGCCATCCTCGTCCTGGCCAGGCATTGCCAGCTTCCCCTCCCAGCCCATTTATCAGTCCCGAAAGGTAAAGAAGCTTACTCCATTGAGTCCTGCCTTCCCTTCCCAACTCCCTTCCCACCACCTTCTCCCAAAGAATCGCTTCCCAAAACGCCCCCCCGCCCCCCTGCCCGGTGATTCAAATCCCCTCCAAGCTCGAGCCCCAAGCGCCCCGCTGACCATCCGCCCGAAAACTCTCGGCACCCGCGCCAGCGTGCCAAGGCTCTGGTAGAAGCTCTGAGCCTCGCTTACCCAGAAACCCACTGGAAGCTGTCCAGTAGGCGTTGCAGCTGCGACTGGACATGGACGAAACCCAACTGGATCTGAGGGATAGATGCAACCCGACTCGATAGATGAAAAACCCAACTGGATTTGAGTCTTCCACCAAAACGAGGAAAAGGCCGCTGAAGCAAAAGATGGTCTCGACCTGTGCTCGTTTCTCAACCAAAAAACTGGAGACGTTCGCGCGACACAACTTGCCACGGCCCCCCACGGCCCACGGCCCGCGCGCGCGCTCTCCACGCCTTGGCCGCGCCGGCGGAGGCCGCACCAGCCTCAGATCTGGAGAAACGGCAACTGCTGACCCCTCTCTGCATGTTCTTTGGTTTTTTCTATCCCCATCAAGAAACAAAATGGCAAAAATGGAGGTCAGAAAAAAAAAAAAAGCAGAACTGGCAACTCTCTGAATCTTGATCCCTTTCCCCAAGATATCCATGGCAACTCCCGGAGAGTGGCGCGTGCACCGATCCGCCCTGCGGTATGCCGGGTGCCTGGCAGAGCTCTTGCCTCAGTGTACCAGTGCCGCTGGGTGCTCTGTTGTCCAAAATGCACAAAGACGTTCTGGGAGTTCAATTGCCGCGCGGACGTTTGGAGGGACCAAAAAGATAAGACATGCTGATCCCACAGCTCCGTCAGGACATCGATCAAGACCTTGACTTCCTCTTGAAACCAGAAGCTGTCGCGATTAGTCATCGAATGACACTCTCTCATGCAAGTCTGGGTCAAGCTGCGGTAAATAGGCAAAATGGCCCGTGACAGCCAAGTGGGTGTGTCGCACAGTTAGGACACCCCGCCACGCACCAAGTAACGAGGGGCTCCCTATATTTTGAGACAGGCCCGCTCCGGGTTCCCTTTGGGTTGTTGTTTGAAAGTATCAGCACCCAAAAACGCTGCCCTTTTGCCCAAAGATATCCCTCATCAGCTGCCCACCGGCTTCAGTGACCTCAGCCTGAGCAGCATATGGCCAAAGTATGTACCAGGGTCGAAGATCCTTGGCCTGGTCATGGTCATTGGTCATGGGTACATGCCCGGAGAATGACAATGATTGTCTAACATCCTGATTGAGGGCTCCGTGACCATCCCTTCATCCGAAGTCAAAAGGTCGTTTGACCATGACACTGATGCCGGTACCCTAAAAATCGAGGCTTCCTTTTGCATTTGTGTTTCTGTGAACCCAGGAGGAGCCCCCAAAAAAAAACAATCAGCTGTCAAAAATGAGTTTGGTATCCAATTGGGATTATGCTCTGTGGCAAATAAAGAGAAAACAACCACCTTGGGTTGGGTCAGTTTGGTAGCGAAGGAAGGCAAACTGCCCACATGTGTGGGGTTTAACCCGTTTGAGTGTCCGTGTTTTTTGAGGGTGGCCTTTTCAGGATACAAAGGAAACCAACAGGAAAGCCAGCATTCTGGGTCCCCTAATTTGACCAACACCCATTTTGAGACACCGCCCCTGAACCAAGCCTCTGCTTCTTCCTGTGGCTCATCTCGCAACTGTCAAGGGCAGAAACGCCGAACGGCGGGTTTTGCAGACTTTCAGGCGGGTTGGGTCGGTTGCAAAATGGGAAGCCCCCGTTTTTGGGTGGTTCTAGGAGAATTACAAGGGAAAGCAAGTACCAACCTGGATAAGGGCACTGCATTGCAAATAGGTTCCAACCATACCCAATACACCCACTTCAGCGGGGTTCGAATAGACCTCAACACAGTCACAATCATCAAAGAAAGTTCACCAAGAAATTCCGTCGTGCTAGAATTAGCTCGCTATAAGAAATGCATTCGCTACGCGCGAAAAAGCTATGAAAATGATGAAGCAGGAAATCGCGAGAACTGGAAAGTGGCAAGCGGCAGAAAACGTTGGCCCTGTGCATGAGTTCAGCTGTTCCGCATGCGCGCAAACCACCTCCGCCCGACGCCTGACGAAGGTGCTCTTGGAGCGGGTGCGGAGTGGTCTCGGAACGGGTTCGGAGACGGGACCATAGGCACAGGCCGTGCGCACTTCGCAGGCCTCGATCGGTGGACCTTCTGCGCACTTTGGGTGGGCTCACTTCGCTCGCCCAACCCTCTGCAGACTTTCGGGGGGTCGACCTCAAACATGTGGTAGTGTAATGATTTCAGCTTTCCCAAGCATCAAAACGTGAACCCTCTGCAGAGACCTTGAAAACCAGCGGTGTTCGCTTCGCTCGCACAACGCTCTGCAGACTGTCGATGCGAGCTCAAAACATATAGTGTGTGTTGCTTGCGTCTTGTCACTTTCCTGTGCTGGAGCAAGAGAGAGAGAGAGAGAGAGAGAGAGGGAGAGGGGAAAAGAGAGAGATGAAAGAAAGAGAAAGGGAAGCAGAAATAGAGAAAAGAGAAACAGAAGGAGAAAGAGAAAAATCTAAAAAAGAGAAAATAGAAAGAGAAGAAGAAAGAGAAGAAGAAAGAGAAGAAGAAAGAGAAGAAGAAAGAGAAGAAGAAAGAGAATAAGACGGAGAAAAAGAGAGAAAGAGATAGAAGCCGCGCAGTACCGGTAACCTGGCATTAAAGGGGGTCTGCCCAGAAGCATGGTACAGGATCAAAGGAGACACCCACATTTGTTTCTGGTCAGGACGGCAGTGCACTACTGTCCATCATCCACCTTTCATCCACCCGCTTGATAGTGGCTATACATGGGTTTGTCTCCAAATGGGAAAACCCGAGTTTGGGGCCGGGCTTCGTTTCGGATTCTATTTCAACAAACCACAAATAGTACCCAAAAAGGTACCATGCCTCATCTGCCTCCCACTAACATGCACCCGTCCCTTCAAACGGAAACATGTCTTTCAGGTACCTCCCACGGTACCTACATGAGTAATATAGCAAGGTACCTCAAGTTGCAACCCGCAAAACCCAAGGGGGCCAAACCATCCGCAACCCAAAATGGGTATCTGGGTTTGTCTCCCGTTAAAGCAAGCAAGAAAGGGCTCTTTCAGGAAATCCATCTAGCCGTCTATTTCGAGCTCACCCCGAGGTAAAACGAGCCCACCAAGAAGGTCCTTGGAGATCCCAATTTTCAAGCTTTGAACAATGGGAGGTTTGCTTCAATTGTGTTTATGGAAGGCCGCGTCAACCCAAAGTGAATCAAAATCCCTCCCAAGAAAAAGGCGTCGGTGTTCTTTTTGCTGTCCCGCTTAAACCAAAGAAGAAAGGGTACCCAGCCAAGAACGCACACGCTTCAAACGAGGGCCTCCTCCGCGCTCACCGCCTCCATGGCTTCAATGGCTTTGCTCTGCAGTCGCTTGGCCTCTCTCGCACGCTCAAACAGTAACCGGTCACCGGAAAAGAGGAAAAAAGAAGAACAACGTTTTCGCAACCGGAAAATGAACGTTGATGTGTTGGCTCGCGCGCCAACTGACACCCCAAAAACCCGGGTTGTTCACGCGGCATGCGCGGCATGCTCTGCCTTCTGTGTCCGACTCGTTTGTCGGGTCGCATCTACTCTCACTTCCTTTGAAACCCGGGCCCAAACAGGGCCCCTGGTTTTGACACATGGAGGGTTCAAATAGGATTCGGTCCCCCAACACTGATGGCTTTTTCCCCCATCACATGCCAACTACAAGGGGTCCGCCATGCTCAGAAACCCCTTTTGCGTGGCACCCTGCGCTCAACGCTCTCCGAAGAATCGACTTCCGCCTGAAGGGCCTTCATTGGCACTGCTTCCAGCAAATCTTCGGTGCTCTCCACCACCTCAAAAAGCGGTTCGCGTCTCAACGCCTCATTGGTGCTAGGGCCTGAAATTTTGTGAATGGGGGGAGGGGAACTTGACCAAATCAAGTGATGAAGATAAGAGAAACATGTGTGACACTTATTCAGAGTTGGAGGTTTGGAGTGGATGGGGGGAAAACCCTGCGATTTCCTCTTTTTAGTTGGATCAAGGGGTCGAGTTCCCAAACCATCCCGTGGTGCGCCGTCTCCGTCTCGAGGACATGTGAGCCACGGGCAACATATACGGATTTGCCGTGAAGGACATGGCAAAAATGGGCGAGTCAAATGGTCTTCCTGGCTGAACCTTGGTCCCTGACTCGCAATAGCTCCATCCTTCAACGTCGACCACGTGGTAGATAGACAGGAAACAACAAACTCCAGCTGACTTGGACACCCAGAAACTACCAAAATCGTGGAGTTACTGGCCTCCTCCAGCGATGCCGCGCCCATCTCTTCGCACCAAGCTGCGACCGCCTGACCGGCTCCCGCTCGCAAGGCCATGGGATTGCGTCGACCGCTCCAGATTCTATTGGTTCAATTGTATATGATATGTCTTTTGGTACCACCCAACAACAATTCAGCGTTTTGCCCGAGAGACCAACTGGCACGAAGATCAAACCTGGAAAAGGTGCTTTGGCCCACGTCAGTGACAAAGCTGAACTCCTCAGCCTTGAAATCACGCGCGACAAAACTCACCCCTGGTCGCTACCTCTTCGTACTCCAGCAAGTTCAGGTGCCGAAGCCAGGAAGCAAGGTCTCTTCTGAAGCTGTCCTGCGAAGGTTTCTCCATCGCCCAGCACTCACCAACCGCACTCACGTGTGTGTGTGTGTGTGTGTGTGTGTGTGTGTGTGTGTGTGTGTGTGTGTGTGTGTGTGTGTGTGTGTGTGTGTGTGTGTGTGTGTGTGTGTGTGTGTGTGTGTGTGTGTGTGTGTGTGTGTGTGTGTGTGTGTGTGTGTGTGTGT